TTATCCCGGTACCCCAGTTATCAACTTCTCCCTTTTCTTCTCGCTATCGCCTTTCCCGCCTGTTTCGCAACTCGCAATTATTCCAGATACGCGATTTCCCAGTTTCTTTTTCAGTCCTCCGTGGTTTCTCGTATTCCGCGCGGAATAATTACGCCGTTGCGGGACTAATTGTCACCCGAGGTTTACGACCGAGGTAAAAGTCCCTCGCCGCTTTCTCGGCCATCGTGGGACATTTTCCGCGTCATTGTCGGCCAAGTTTGGCTCGACCAATTCGGCGCCTCCTCCTGTCGTTTCCCTTTTCGGGCCATAACAGTCCATTCACCTGCTTCCCAACGGCCTGACGTAAGTCCTGGTCGGATATTCTCCATTCACCAAGTCCGGATGACCCCGGCCGACTTCTGTGCTGCTGTCCACGTGCATTAAGAGGCGCCCGCGGAGCTGCAGATCCCTGCCTTACCGCGCATCCCAGATCCTCACCCGGAAGTCCGACCTATAAACACGCATTTAACATGTAATTAGGCTCGAGGGCGTACATTTAGAGGGGCAGGGAAACCTCGTTACCTTTCCTAAGAAGAGGTACGATGCACCTCTGCTGCACCGAGCTATTTCTCGCGATGCAATAAATGTATTTCGAGGTGCAAAGAGGTCGGCTGGAAGGAAACGGCGTCCAGAATAGCACAATGGCCGCCGGTATAGGAAGGTAGGAAGGACCGCTTTTGTTCGCGCCGGCCAGGACTTTTTGCGGCCATTCCGCGGCGGTTTCATCGCGCGAACTCTGCGGTCGTCGCTTATGGTCGGGGTCTGCAATCACCGTTTCTACGAGTTCGCTGTTTGACTCCGTTTTCCTGGGAGATTCCTTCCCACCGGGGCGAGCAGCTCCCATGTCGCCATTTTTGTTTCCCTGCAAAGGTTTAGAATTTATTTTACACGATATTCCCGTTTCCTGGGGATATTTCGTCAGGCCCAATTATACCGGGAGTGAAGGTCCTTACCTCACCCGGATGCGCATCACCTCTGTGACACGGGGCTCCTCGTCGCTGTTTTGAGGCGCCGACGTCTCTCTATCGCCTTATCGGTGACGGCGCTTATCTTATCGCCACGCGGATGTCGGCTTTATTAAATACGGGCGCGTTCACTTGTCCGCTCATGTGTGGATGGAAGGGACGGAGAGAGGCCGCCAGAACGAGACGGAAAAGCCGCTGCGTGAGGGAAACTGCATGTGTGCATTCCACGTTATCTTAAGACGGACTCGTGACGACCGAGAACGTTTCAGATTCTGCAGCTTTATGAAATGGACTCTTAAGGCGATCTAAAAGTGGCGTCCGAGGAGCCTCGTTCATGAAACCTGACGTCGGTGTCCATCGTTCGAGATTTTAATTGTAATAATATAAAATTAAATTTAATTTATTTCTAAATATTTTTTAAATCGTTAATAAAAAGTCACGGAGACAGGATTCGAAAATCGACCCCTCAGACGGTATTATCGGAGTATCTAGACAGCTTTCAAATTTAATCCACCTCTTCGGGTGATATTAATTATGTGGAGCTGCGAGAGCTTGCGGAATCTCAATATGCGGTTTGGATGTGTTACGACTCTAATGACTGTTCCGCAGTCCGAAGGAAGCCTGCAAAAAGCGGAAGAAATTAATGGCGACAGGATGAAATCTGAAAATAAATGCACCTTGGGTGTGGGAACGTAGGTGTAGACCAGGTAGATCGTCGACCACTTGGAATACGTGAGTCATCGCGTCTCTCCATGGGGAAGACGATCGGACCTCGCGTCGCTGGTCCGCCATCTTGGATTACCTCGACCCGAAAACTTGATTAAAGAAGTACCTCTTAATCCTCGGAGAACGGTTTCACCGACCAAACCTCCGTCTTTATTCTCAACTCCATTGTGCAAGTCAATTCTCCCTGCCATTACAGTTGAGGTTGCATCCCTGGCGGTCTCGTAAATCCGCGAACGGCCTTTCCCTCGAAGTGGTAATGGATTTAGCGGAAAACCAAGATGGCGGCGCGCCTCCAGTTAGCGCGTCGCGGGGGTTCGCCGATTACGGGCCTCGAGAACGACCTGTAGCGCCTGCCGTTTCCAGTAATCCTCGGGGTATAATGTAAGAGCTTAACTGGAAACCAAGGTGGATGCACCTGACGTCGGAGGAGCGCGGTTACCAGCCATTAGGCGCGGAATTTGAAATGGCCCGTGGAGGGCGCTTCTTGTTCGCAGCGTCGGACTGGTCGGACGCGCCGCATTCTTCTGTAGATTTTTCCCAACGGTCCGCCGGCTCGCAGGTAAAAAGTGCCCTTTGAAAATAGTCTTTTTCTCGGGAGAAGGAAAAGCGAGCGTTTAAACGCAAAATTCAAGTTTAAACCAGAAAGCGTAACGCGCGCCGAGGCGGAAGATGGGCTTCTCGGGACAGGCGGGTCAGCGTCGTATCGGCTAATAAAAAGAAATATGGCGCCCCGTACCCGGATTCCTTGGACGATAAGCGATAAAGAGCCGACCTAGTTTACGATCCGATCTCGCTGGCCTAATCCGGACACGGTTTGCACCAATACCGAGGCTACTCGGGGCACGGGCGAGCACCTTTCTCGATGTAGGTGCGCGATTTTTTCCCGGGTCTTACATAACCTATTCACCGCACTCCCGTTCACGCGTGGCTGCATACCAGCCGTCTCATGAATGGATATCGCGCTAGTTTACGATGTATCGACGGTTATCGAATTCTATTGACACCTCGCCGGCTGTGCGACGATTAATTACGTCTTCGTCCCGTTTTCTTGTCGGTTGCCTCCCGCCTCGCTTAACCGCAAAACTCCGCCCCCACGGTCCGAGTCCGGAGGCGTCTCGAAGCGGTCGCGCCGACGAAAACCAGCCGCCATTTTGTTTTCAGTTCTCGCAACCGGCGAGATGCCCTTTACTACCACATTGATATCGAATGTCCCATGCAGAATATTTCACATACTTCCGGATCATACGCGCAATTACAAAGTCCATAGCGAGCATTCTTGCGGGAAATATTTTCTACTTCGTCAAACGTGTTATGAAAGGGTCATTCTATATACATAAAAACATGAAAATATTTATAAAATGTCTCCATACTGGGTAGACCAAATAATTTTTAAAACTTAGCACGTGATTATGGAGGCCCTAAGAACGCAATTCTCGTAAAATTTAATTTTTCAATCAAAGAAAGATTTTCATTTACAGAGAAAACATTTTTGTTGACTAATGAAATTTCACGAGTTTCAAGACCTTCATTAGGACCTGCGTAATCACGTGCTGAAGTTTCAAATTATTCGGTGCACCCTGTTTGGAGGAAAGTTTTATAAATATTTTTACGTTATATGTATAATGACACTTTTGTAGTACCTTAAGGAGGGGAGTCGAGTGGGGTGTAAACACTCGGCAGTTCCGAACCGGCGCGAAGGAATCCTCGCCGGTGCGTTGCATTCTCCGGCCGTCGGCGTTGCGTCGCGTTGCGTGCGCGCCCGTCGAGTAGTCCGAGCGTGGCCGAGCGCGGCCGAAGGCGACCGAACGAAGGGAGGAGACGGGTCTTTGACCGTTTGCTGATGAGGTACGCGCAGGTGGCACCGTTCCGCCTCGCTCCTCCGCCATGACCGCCATGACAGTCTCACGGAGGTCGCGACAGACCTCGTGGACCCGAGCCCCCGTAAAACCCCGTACCAAGGTACTTACTAAAATATAGAATATCTACCCTAGTCGTTACTACGCTGGAATTAAATCTCCTAACTGAGGAAATTAAAAATTTTGTCCATTTTCTATCTCGAAGTTAATTCGAAGTTACTTCAAGGTAAAACATTTTTCTCTCATCGTAGAAAGGTCGCTAACGACTCGCTCTTAATTGTTGCTTAGCGGTAAAGCGTCTTTACGTAATTTCGGATTTTTGTTCCATTTCGTCGTGGCATAGGTTACGTCGCATCGTGCAGCGCGAGCTTCACGATTCGGCCGGCGCGGCGCTCGAGCCCCTGTTGCGCTTGCGCCACTGGGCGACGTCACGTGACCCTAATCCCATCCGGAACTCGGTTATTAACCCCCACCTCCGGGCGACCGATGAGGCTGAGTGACGTCACTGGTTGCATTGGCGTGCACCGAACTCGAGAGCAACGATCGGTGACCGATGCTCTTTACCGGAGGACCCCGTTACCGATAAATCCATCGAGAGGTCTCGACTGTACGATGTTTCGACGTTACACTTACACAGGCACTGTAACGGGATTATCCGTTCCAGAGTCTAGTCGCAGTTCTTTCGACGAGTCGAGACGAATCGTGGTTCCGGCTCCGGTTCCCATTTGACATCACCAATGGCGCAGGCCTCGATTGCGTCACCGCTCCCATTGGCGCCCGGCCCTGACCTTGGCTGAATGCGGAACTCTATTCCCGACCTTGAACCGTTACCTTCCCCGAGGTTGAACCTCGGTCGGCGCTCCGATTCAAGAGCGCCGGGGATCGATGCACTTGCATTACCATAAGAGTCGACTGCAACCAGTTGAACGCTCGACTCGGGGTTCCCGGAAACTTGAACGTAATTTCCTACGAACGGTTATAAAAATATATAATTAATTCTCCGGGTGAAATTATTTCATATATATACAGGGAATTAATTAAGAACGTTCTTTGTCACTGGAGCATCCGCAGCGAGGGGCGGGGCGAGACCTGGATCGTGGGGCACGTCTATGTGACCCATTATGCGTGCCAGAAGCGCAAAGATGGTCGACAGTCGAAGCTCCGGTCGATCCCGTTCCGTGCGTTTCTCCGATCGACTCATCCCCCGGCCTCCCCCGGTGTCCCGTTCCTCGTTCCCCGTTCCGGCGTTTCCGCGGCGTAGCGGAGTTCGATTATCGTGCCGTCTGAGTTATGGAACGGAGGGAAGGGGAGGGGTCGCCGGGAGTGGGGGGTGCGCGTGCCGGTGGAGGGGGGCAGTAGTGACGTCGGAAGCGCCAAGCACGCAGCGGCTCCATTCACTAACCGGCCGCCGCCGAGAGCAGTCGTGCGCGCGCCGTCCTCGTGCTCGGACGGCTCTCCACCCTTTCCTCCCCTTCGCGCGCCCCGAGGTTTCCCCTGTATCGCGGGTTGCGTCGGCCGGTCCAACGGAAAGAGGAGCACCCGTCCGAGGAGATAGATATCGAAGAGAGTGCGGGCGCACCTGTGGAGAGCGAGAGAGAGGGTCGCGAGTGTGACGGCTAGCTGTGCCGTGCCGATGAGTCGCGGCCGGGCGCGACCGCGAGCCCCCATTGGCCCGCCCGGTGTGACCGCCGAAACTCGCCGGGCGAGCTGCCCTCCTATTGGCGCAGGCCCCGGTCCGGCGAAAATCTGGAGGCACGCGCGCTGCCTGGTGGATGTGTACTCGTGCGTGTGAAGTAAGGTGCGATCCGCCGGAAGGGCCCAGTCGGTCGCGGGGCGCGGAGGTGAACGGTGCGGCTGCCGCTGAGGGAGCGGGACGCCGCCACGGGCTCCGGCAAAATGACCGTCGCCGGGAAGGTGAGGAATCGAACCAAACCGGCCCTGACCGGACTCGGTAATTATTACCTCGTAAGTTTCACAAAGGGAATACCAGGTGCTCAAACGCATCCGCGTTATACCCCTCACGTATGCGCGCACCGAAATATCGGCTTAGACTTATACTGAAGTATTTAAATATTGAAATATTCAAGTGCTCAAGTATTCACGTTATACCGAGTCAGAAGGCACGATTACGGCGATGAGGCTCCAATAAGTCGTTATTTCCATCAGGGCACAACGCGGATGCGTTCGAATCGGCCTTAATGGAGCCGGAGATAACCGAGGCAAAGATCGACCCGAACGTCGGCGCCAGCCGAACACTCTCATCCGTCTCTCGACAATAGCGATTTTGTAAGAGCCGGAAACGGGACGGAGGGTTCGGCCGACGTCACGGATCAAGGGATCCGATATCCCGGCAATCGCTTCGGGGATGATGCGGTGGTGATCGGCGACGGCCGTTGCCGTCGATAAGCAATAACCCTGTAGGTTATGTCACCGGCTTAACGACATCAAGATAATCCCGTCTCCCGGTTGCGTCACGTCGCCTCGGTATTTATTTATATGGCGATCGTAACGATGAGATCTCCCGAGGCGAGAGCGAAAAGGCAGAAGACCCGGAGGGATCGATCGAGAGGGGATCGTGAATTATGCTTCCAAGGTGTACTTTTATTTTTTGTTTCTTCTATCTACTTCATTTTATTTCTTATTAACGCATTGTCTGGAACTCGCGTAACAGGTATTTCCGGCCCAGGTGCACCGGTCTCCCCAGGAATGTCGGCTCGGCTCGCGAGATCCAGGAGCGATCGGACGAGGATCGATCCGCTATCGACGAGCGATCGAGAGATTCGATCGGCCTAGTAATTGGAGCTCGGGGTAATTATCGCCCGGGATGAACAATCGACTTAATCGATCCCCAGATTAAGGAGCGCCGATGGATGGCCGCTCTAATAACGCGGTATAGACGAAGGGTCGCCACGAACGCAGTTTTCTGCCGCTACCGTCCGAGATAGGAGGAAACTCCCGTTATCAAAATTCCTTGGGGGAGAGAGACGAGGGACTTTCGTCCGAGACACTTTCCGATTGCGGGCGTCGTTAAGGCAGAAAAGCGCCGTTATCGGGCGACGCGACGCCGCTGCACGCTGGGGGCTGCGGCAAAGTCAAGTTCACGGCGGCGCGGATACGGGCAATCTCGATCAGCTGACTCCTCGAATTTCAAAAGAGGCCCCGGGTGAGCGGACACCCCTCGGGGCGGACTTTATTTTGACAGGAGAAAATAAACGCGGAGCGATAAGGACGCATATAAGGTCGGGAGTATATCGTTCGACGAGATGCTCGGCCCCCGGATTCCGGGCGTGCCGATTTTCACTCGCCGTTTTCTTCGGGATTTATTAAACCAGCCCTCGGCGCCTCGTCGCCATTATTATAATATGCACGTATACGAGCGTGTCGGCGTACCGGTCGTACCTGATGATGATGGCGCTGGTGTGCAAAAACGATATTGGAAAAGCTCGGTCCCCCCTCGAGTAAATTACAGGCTTAAAGCCCGTCGGCGAGCCGGAATCCGGCGGGATATTTCGTGCCGCCTTAATTTAGCCGGCCTTAATTAGGAGCGGTCCCCTTTTTTCGAGGGAGATCTCTTCCTCTTTTTGGAGGGGCGCCCTTGATGACGGCACCTGACTTCCTACGAACACCGACTCTGCCTCGGCACTTCTCCCGAGCTTATACCTTTCCTCCCCTTCCTCTCGCTCCTCCAGTTTTTTACCCCCTTTTCTTACCCTCGCCGCCTTTTTACGAGCGGTCTAGACCCGCTCGGAGACTCTTACGAGCCCGGGAACTGGTCCCTCGCATTCTTCTCCGACCCCCGGCTTCTCGTCCCGATAAATCGCCCGAATAACCTCCCTTTTTTATTACTTAAGTTAAATATCCCCTCGATATTAGAGCTCCCATTGTGTTGTCACTCCATTTCCATGCACGTTGATTGAAAATTTCGATGTTTACGTAGCGGTTCTCGCGATCGTTTCGTCCACCATCTTGGTTTCGAATCGGGCTCTCTTAAGAATTTATATATACGCGTTTCCCCTGGCGCTCGACTTAATTTCTCCCTCAATATCAATGCCTTCGTATGATTTTCTCTCTATTAAATATATATATATTTCCATGTGAAAACTGTAATTTTCGATGTTTACCTAGCAGTTCTCGCGAGATCGGGGCGAACGCGTCGTCCGCCATCTTGGTCTCGAATCCGACGCGCGGACTCTCGGAAGAATTTCCATCGACGCGTTTCCCCTGTCGCTTGGCCGTAGAACCGGTCGCTCCACTTTTTTCCCTTTTTTTTTTCGCCTCTTTCCTCCTCGACCCGCCCGATGATCGACGATGGGAACGACGCGCACGCGGTGACGCAGTTACGCGACCGCGTAACCTGCGCAGGTTTGCCGAAGGTCCGTCGACGGTCGCGCACGTTACGCGAGATGGCGGCGAATCTAACCTCAACTTGCGGGATGGAACGGAATCTCATCGTGGACGACCGATTAATCAATCGCCGACCAATCGCGCCCACTTAACCCCCTCTGATCGTTGTTTAAAGGGTTGGTCGTGATGGTATAAAGTTGACAGTAAAAACTGTGACCAATAAATTCAAGGAAATTCAATATGGCGGCCAGGAATTTAACGGTCACTCGTTATCATTGTTCATCCGAAAGGCCTTTTCGAATTGGTCTTACGTTCGATTTAGGGATGAATCGAGAGAGATCCCCTAAATTGTCGTAATATCCGATTTGATCAAGAATCTGTGCATTTTTGTATGTAAACATCGATTCGTATCGATTCTCGGACTCCTTCGGTGGGGCTTTATCGACACCTTGCGGTGCACGAGCGGATCGTTCGTTTCAATATGAGCGCCGATTATCTCGGGTCGAGTAATTAACTAATAATCAATCTACCCTGCCTATCTATCGTTGGTCAGCCAGATATCGGGAAGGATCGGCGCCGATCGATTGTTCCGTTCGACGGGAATCGGAGAATTCGATCGGTTCTACGGCGCCTGGAGTGATTTCCCGGCGGTGCAGAGCCGATCGATCCCCGATCGATTCCCTATCGGCGATTGGAATACGATCTCCTGGGGCTATCGGCAGGCCATCCCGCGGTTTCCGCGTACCGGTATTACGCCCCGTAATTGCGGCAACGATCCTCTAACCGATCGCCGTCCCTCGCCGATCGATACGCATCGATTGTCTTGAGAATCGTTTCGTGCCGATTATCTCGTGACGATTGAATTATGCGATCGGAGATCGAGGTGATCGATCGGCCGTTCAACGATCCCGATTAAGATCCTCTTGGAAGGACGATGCCGATCTTGGCTGCCCCAAATCTTTTTCTCTCTGTTTCTCCCTCTACTAATATTTTCCTTCTACTTTTGTCCCCTTTTGTCAGAGGGGGGAATAAAATGTCGAGAAATCGCCGCGGAAAGACAGTGATTTCCGGCGACTATGAATTACGCCAGGCGACGAGAGATGAAATTCTCCGAGAAAAGAGAAAGACTAGGGGAAGGGGCGGAGGGGAAAAAAAAGAGAAAGGAGAAAATGACGGGACTCGAGATCGTAGAAAGGAGGCTCGACCGAAGCGACGGAGGCGTATCTCCCGATTTGTGGTTTCACGGCTCGGGGATAAACAATGGTCGGTTTCCATCGTCCCCGGGCTTTCCTCGGGTTTTGCTTCAATCGGGCCTTTGAGACTCGTCTCCGGGGATCTGTTTCGCCGTTTATCACCCTTATCGCTCCCCTCCGGCCTCTCGGCTTCGCTGATTTACGTCACTCCCGAGATCGAGGTTATCGCCTTTACTTAACCGAACTTGGCCGGTTTCGGGGAACTCGTGGCCGACGCCTGACCAGGTGATGTTGCACTAAGAAAAAAAGAAGAAAAAAAATTACATTGAACCAAAGAAATATCTCGTTAATTCAAAGGCTAATTATTTGACTCATATAAATTGTCATAATTCCAAAGAAACGTTGCATCCAATTTATTCAAGTTTATATGAGTCAAATAATATGTCCTTTAATTAATAAATTGTTTCTTTGGTTATGTGATACTTTTTTTTTTTCTCAGCGTGGCAACGCGTTTCTCGCTGATTTCTCGGGATCGATCGACCTCGACATTCGCGACTTCGCGGAGTTAACTCGATCTTGCGTCGGGTCGGGGTGAGAGTTCGTTTAAAAGAAATTGAACGAACTCGTGCCAAGGAACTTCTTGTTCGAACAATTTTTTAGATGCATTGGGTTAACGCCTTTGTGACTCGCGCAACGCGACTTCCGGTTCCGACGACGGACGGCATCCGTCTGAGGCACGCGTGGGCGGTGCGCCTCGGGCACCCCCGAGCCACCCCGATGCGCCGAGCCGAGCGCGGACGAAGCGAGCCGATCGCGCCCGAGCGCGGTATCCTAGTTAAAGGTCCCCGGGCATTGGCTCGCCGAGTCTCTTCGGGGTCAGAGTCGTGCTCGAGCACTTCCGGTACCCGGGTCACGCGCTCGCCCCCTCCACCTCGCCGTACGTGCGCTCTCGATTTATGAATTAATAACGGGACACGGCCGCCCGAGATAGGCATCGGCCGAACGGATCCGGTAGATCCGGATCGTTAGATCCGGATCGAATTCGGAGAAAATCGAGCCTCGCCCCTCGGGCTCGATTATAGAACCGCCGCTTCTGAACGGCTCCGCATCTATTAACATCGGGCTAGAGGTTCGAGGTTAATCGGCTAATAAGGAATTAACGTCGATTCGAACTCAAATTAATTGACTCGATTCCGTGGAGAACATTCAAGGACCCATCGCTGCGATACACCGAGAAGAATTAATGATTTCCTTGAATATTACCAAAGAAATATCCTGTCCATCTAAAGGACACTTATTTGACTCGAATTAATTGAACGCGACACTTCGTCGGAATTATAACAATTAATTAGAGTTCGAGGGAAATTCCTTGAATTAACGAAATATTTCTTCGGTTCAATTGGCTTCTTTTTTTCTGGGTGTAGGCGTGTTTCTCGTCGCAGCCGCCCTGAACTTCCTCGAAACGATGCAAGAAAGCAGCGCGTGCGCGCTTCTTTTTTTTTTTTTGTTTCTTTTGCTTGTATTTAAATGGCCCCTTGCAGCCAGCTGCAGTCTAAACGAGGGCAGTCCTACGAGGGAGAAGGGAAAAAACTACGTCGGGATTTAGTTGCGGCAAGGCTCGGGGGGCACTTGCTTCGCGGCGCGCCGGGAACTGCAGGCGGCAATCTCGGCCGGGAAGAGGTCGGTCCTGGAGCCCCTTAACCCAGACCGTCGGCGGTGAGTCAGTGCGGTCGCTGGAGTCACTACGGATAATACACCGGCTACACCCAGACCAGCAAGTGTCTGATAGCGTGGGGTTTTACGGGGTGGAGGCGCTGTACAAAGAGGGGCCGACTAGGCGCGGCCCTCCTCTCCCTACGGCCTGGAAAAGAGAGGAAAATGCCCTCCGCCTTTCCGGCATTCCCCGTGATACGAGCCCGGGGCGACACCTGCCGGGCCCGCTCTCGTTACGTCACGTTACGTCACGTACCGGGCTCGGCATCCCCGCGCAGGGTGTCGCACTGAAGGCGACGCGTCGACGCATCGAAAATATAGAAAAAGCCTTTTCATCCCGATGCCCTCCTTCCTCTACTTCCATCCGCTTAATATCATTTTTCTATCTATTCAATTTTGTTCCTGGATCCTTTTTTTATTTCCGTCTGTCGTATTTCCTTTTTATAATACGTTCTAAAATTAAGCTTCAATGATGAAAAGTGGCTCCTGGGCATGGAAGGTGGTTCTTTCAATTTTTCTTTCTCATCTTCTTTGTACCCCGAGTGATGTGTCCGCCTCACCCCGAAGCGACGGCGCATGCGCACGCACCGGCTTAGGGGCCGCGCCGTGCCATACGTCATTTATATCTTGAAGAAATCGCGCATGCGCGTGCGGGGCGTACCGCGGGCACACGCACGCCACGCAAGCGACACACACGACGCACACGCCGCACATGCCGCGGGTAACACATTTGCGCCCGCCTCACTAGATCCGGGAGTGGTGGGCGACCGCGCAAGGTTGCTATGAATTTATCGCTGGAACCCTCCGAGTGGTCCGCGATGCCGCGCTTTCCTCCATTCGGAGCCCGAAGGGATTAATCTGGTTTTTAGACTTTTCGAATTTTCACCTCTGAGAGGCCCGCCATGCCGCGCTCTCCTCCACTCGAGGGGATTACTCTCGTTTTTAGACTTTTCGAATTTTCACCTCCGCAGGACTCCGCGGGAGTCGGCTAGACGGCGCCTCGAGCGCTTCCCCCTTGAGATCCAATATGGCCGCCGGGGATTCCCGATTCCATTTTCGACCCTCCTACTTCAACCTCACATATATACTATTTGCGGCGCGGTCGAACGATTACGTTTACACTTTTCAGGTAACTCAAAACGTGACCGGCATTATTTTGTTAGTCCGTGGGTCGATCGGTGGACGAGAACGCGTCGGTCGGCGGATTGCATTTCGTCACGAAAACATCCGAAGGCGATGAGCTAATGGTCCTTCCGAGAACTCCTAAATATACGCCCTGCATATCGGCCGATCCATCTTTCCGCCGGCGCTACGTGGGAGCCTAGAAAGGCGGAATCTCGAAAATTCGTTTCCTGGAAATCTGGAATATATGGAATATAAACACGGAGTTCTGCAAAGGGAATCAAAGGATCTTTGCGGAAACCTATATAACCTCTAATGCGGGTAAAATATCCGCCCGTTGCGTGACATTTCACGCCGGTGTTCGCGTAATTTACTTATGTCGTACACCTTGAAAGTATACAATTAGTTTCTCATTATCCCATTATATGGCCGCGATACGTACAACATAATGTCCGATCCGCGCCTATTTTTAAACGGCGGGGTTACGCGCGGCACGCATAAATTACGGAAAACGTCATGTGAAACACCGCGTAACATGCGAAAGCGTTAGGGAACGATTGAGGATAATTGCCGGGCGATGGGCGAGCGATTTTCCGCGATTCGGGGAGAGGTAGGGAAACGAAGCGCCGCCATCTTGGCGAGCCGGACCCGCGCGAAGTCGGACTCGGGCGGATCCTCGATCTCTCGATCCGCGATCGAGGATCGCGGATCGAGAGATCGCACCTGTCGGCTCGCGTCGATCCTCGGCCGGCTTTCAGCCGCTCTCGACCCTGATAGGCCCGTCCCGCTACTTTCACCTGGATCTCCCGCTAATGGTCACATCCGCCAACCTGGGAGAGCTATGCCCCATTTACAATAATTTCTTACCTGGCCGCTGCGCGTTTCTTCTCCCCGCAATTAACACGTGTACACTGATGGACATGAATGCCTTTCCATCATGCATTGGTATACCACATCTGCAGGGAAGGCATTCATGTCCCCCACTGTACGCTCCTTTACGACACTGTGCGTATGCGCCAGACGAGACAATTTCGAGCGTCCCACTGGGCGCGTCGACGCGCCAATAATAAAAATTAAAAAATAATAAAAAGACCTATCGAAACTGACGCCCGAGGTTAAGTGCAATTGTAAATAAATTTTAACGGCTTAAGGTGATATGAAAGGGTCGTTCTACATATCAAAACGTCAAAATAGTTATTAAACTTTTCTCCCAACTGGTTGCGCCGAATAGTGTGAAACTCCGGCATATGATTATGAAAGCCTCGAGGAAGAACGCGATGCTCGTGAAATTTCATTTTTCAACGAAAACATTTTTTTTTTTTCTATTTAGCCTAGACTAAAACCAAGATCGTATTTTTTTTTTATGAAAAATGAAATAACATCATCTCAGTGATGCGACCCGGCTGGGATAGAATGCGAACGATAGTTTCTCTCCCTTTTCTTTTTTTCGTGAAATTATGTTTTACCGAGTTATTTTGGATTTTTCAGGGATTTGGGAATGGGAAACGTAAGGAAGGTTTGGTGGACGGAATAGAACTCGTTGGGGCACTTTTTAATCCCTTTCTGTAATAAGGTGTCATCACACCTCCTCGCCGCGGCCCCTTCTATCCTTTCCAGCCTCGGCGATCGCTATCATCTCCGTATCTCGGTATCCGCGATCCTATCTCGGAGATAGGGCCAGGAGAGGAGAGCCATCTCGGGCGAAACCGTGAGATTACCGCAGACCCCGCGGCGTAAATAACGACTCGCGGATTTATGGCCGCGCACGCGAGTGCGCACCTCCACCACGTGGGGACTCTCGTCGACTCGTCGAGAAGCGGTGCCTCGATACCGCGGACATTTTTTTTAATTATTTTTTTCATAAGATACTCTAGATGATTCTTCATTTTTTTTTTTTTTTTCTATGTATGAGAAATCGAAAGATTTAATGCAACGTGTTTAACCCCTTAACTTGTGCGCTCGAGTTAATTCGATTCCAAATTGTGCACACTCGAGATAATTCGAGCGGCGTTGTATTTTATGCTCCTATAATTTTTCACACTCGAATATAATCGAGAATTTTATTTTTTTGCCAAGACAATGTTCTAGTATTTTTTTTTTTAATCTGTGCGTTAAGGGGTTAATGTCGAGATGTTCAATGGGGTGTCGTATTTTCAAGAGGTACGTCGACTCGTCGAAAAACAATCCCTCGATGATGGGAAAATTTTTGTTATAAGATACTTTAGATAATCCTTTACTTTCTCTGTGGTACGTAATATCGAGAGATTTATTGCAACGGATGATTCCTTATTTTTTTCTACGTTCGTAACAACGAGATATTTAATGAGGACTCTTATCTTCCAGAGGTATGTCGACTGCACGGTGCTGGGCAGCGGAAGCGGCGCCGATGCCGAGGACTCCTCTTACGACAGCGACTACGAGGCCGAGGACTCCCTGGGCTCGACGGCGATCCATCCCCAGCTGGAGTCGCAGGTCTCGCCCTCGAGCCACTCGGACGTGTCCAGGACCACCTCGGACACCTTGGCGGCCGAATTCGCCGAGTACGTCACCGTCCAAGGACCCTCGCCTATCCAGGGCCCCGGTGCGTTTCCGCGGCCCCATTGAAAAATCCAAAAACGAAAAAACCACTACCACAACTCGCTCGACAGACTTTTCCGAAATCTTTGGAGTTCAACTCATTTTCGTCAGGTCGACGCTCCCTGGCCGGCGTTAATTAATTTTAAGTGCTCCGAGAGAAGGAGGGAATTTGCCCCAGGTTTAAAGGGACCGACGTCGACTTCCGGTCGAGTGGCCGGTGGCTTCGACGGTCCGGCCGAGAAATCGTAGTTGGGTAACTCTTCGGCAACTATACTTTCCCCTGTACCCCACCCGGAGCGGCACGAGGAGCTCCGTGTCAGGGAAAGTGCCTCCTAGTCCTCCATCTTAGCATACTTTATGCGCCCGTCGTAATAACGACCCGCGTCGAACCTCCGGGCTCCGACCTTATTTCGGGTGCCTCCTTCCTTCGTCTACTCCTAGGGCCTATATTAATATGATCCTGAAAAAAGGAAGACGTTACCCTTATGAGGAAAAGTCAAAGGTCTCTGTAAAATCCGGGAGAACGTATTTTGGATGATTTTTATGGAGGTCTCTTGGTTCCAGGTTACACGGCCAGGGTGGAGTTCGCCCTGAAGCTGGGCTACACCGAACACCACGTCCAGGCGGCCCTGTTGAAGCTGGGCCCTGACCCCGAGCAGAACGAGCTTCTGGCGGAGTTGATAAAGCTAGGGGCAAGTTGTCCGAAGCTCATCGACACCCTCGACGAGCCGGACGGCCTGCTGGAGGTGGACGTCAACGGCGAGGACGTCGGCGCCCTGTCGACGGGATTGCGACCCGTCGTCATAGACGGCAGTAACGTGGCCATGAGCCACGGGAACAACGAGATCTTCTCCTGCAGGGGCATCAAGATCTGCGTGGACTGGTTCAGGGCGAGGGGACACAAGGAGATTACCGTCTTCGTCCCCAAGTGGAGGAAGGAGGCGTCCAGGTTGAACAATCCCATCGCCGATCAGGAGATTCTAGGGGAGCTCGAGAGGGACCGGTTGCTCGTCTTTACGCCCTCGAGGTGAAGCCCTGACGGGAAATTGTTTATTTAATTTTGTATAAATTAGTGAGAGGCGCTATATGGTCCTCGTATCTTTAGGCTTGTCGGCGGCAAGAGGATGGTGTGTTACGACGATCGCTACATCCTGCGACTCGCCGCAGAATTAGACGGCATCGTCGTCAGCAACGACAACTACCGGGACCTGGCGCAGGAGAGCCCGGACTTCCGGAAGGTCGTTGAGGAGAGGATCCTGATGTATAGCTTCGTGAACGACCGCTTCATGCCGCCGGACGATCCTCTGGGTAGAAGTGGACCTACCCTCGACAATTTCCTCAGGATAGCGCCGAGGAAGTTCGACCCGGCGCCTCCTTGTCCGTATGCCAAGGTTAGGGTTGGTCGAAATATCCCAGGAACGTGTATTTCGCCTCGTCGGGGAGATTTATTCAACGGGCTGTTTCAGAAATGTACTTACGGCAACAAGTGCAAGTTCAGGCACCCGGAGCGAGGGCCAAATTCGCATAAATCGGTGACGGTGCGCCTGGTGGAGCACGCCCAGCGTCATCTCCAGGCTCGGGGACCTAGTCTGAGTCTGCCCTTGCCGTCCTCCGTTTCTTCCGGGTCCTCTAGCTCTTCCGGGCCCTCCTCCGGCATCGGCTCGCAGCATCAGCCTCTAGGCAAGGCCAGGTTACCGCCCACGTCCGTCCAATCGTCGTCTCCTGTCCCGAAGAGCAGATCCGTGGAGAACGTCACCGTAGATCCGGTCTCCACCTCGAGTCCCACCAACTACGCCCAGCAGATACCGCCCGTCCAAAACGCCCAAGGTAATTTCTCCCCTGTCCAACTGAAACTATAAACCGTGTGGATAAAAATCCCGTAAAAAAACGAGCGAGCCAACCAAATGCCCCTGCCTTCAGGGTACTCCTCGGCAGTGGGATGGACGTCGCCCAGGATCGGGAATCCAGAACCAGAACCAGCGAACATGCACAGGAAACTGCAGCGTCAGCTGACCTTGAATCCCGCCTGCGACCCTCGACTCTACCAGCTCAGGAGGTACCTCCAGCAGCAACAGCACCCGCCCCAGCAGCAGCAGCATCCTCAGCATCAGTCTCTTCAGCAACAGCCGGTCGTCCCTCCTGCGCGTTCGGCGATCCAACACAGGCCATTGACGAGACACGCCAGCAACGAGTCGTCCTATCCTGTGTCGATGAGGTAGGTGTCTTCTGGTTTCTCTTTAAGGTCCCCGATTTTCGAGCTGGAGGATCGTATTAATCTCTCCGCTTGCGTTCCACCGTTCAGCTGGGAGCACCCGGAACATCATCATCAGAACGTGACTCGCATAGCCTCGGCTCCTGACTCGTATCGGGGCTGGCCACCTAGAAACGGCACCAACGTCCAAAACCAGTCTCGAGGTCAGCGTTTGGGCACTTCCGAGCCCCAGCTGAACCTGCTCCCGTCGCCGCCCTCGGCCCAGGGCTTGCACACCTGGGGAACCAGCCAGACCCAGGACGCTCGGCGCAAGCTGCACTACCATCTCGCCAACATCTTCCCCGAGGAGCAGGTGCAGGCCGCCATGGCTCTTCATCCCCACGAGACGGACCCCCAGCAGATCTGCGCCGCCATTTTGGCGATGTTCCCCAAGACTTAGGCACCCAGACTGGTCCCTGCGAGACGCAGCCCCTCGTGGCCTTGGGAATCGTCGGGACGATTTTTGTTCTTTCTTTTTTGTTTCCCCTAACTTATCAGGATTAAGTCAACCGTCCTAGCTCCTCTCGTTACATCAGGATTTATTGATTTCCTTTTTTTTCTCGAAGACTAGCCCAAGGGACGCGGGGGTTGCCGTCGCGGCGAAGAATCCAAAGACACCGATACACGTTGATCCGATTTCATAGTGATAAGCGATGGCACTGACTTCTCATTCACTTCTTTCTTCCTTGTTTTTTATTTTTTTTTTTTTGTTCCGTTCGAAATTCTCGAGCTTCACGGAAACTGAAATAGATATTGCAGAGATCGCGAGGGCCTAAGACTTTTTACAGGGTTTCTATGGGCGAATCAAGGAGCGAGTCCTGGAAGAGGGGGATTCCTCTCCGGAAACGCGGATATTCAGTTTGTCGCGTTGAATTTGCGGGGAAACGCGTGGGTATATATATATAATTCTTTTTTTTTACACGATGCCGAAGACCCGGTGATTGGAGGGAGGAAAGTTGAGGCCCGAATTAGAGATGAGCGTCGAGGTAACTTTAATGACTTTTCGGGATATTCGCGCTCAGAGGTAGGCGAGAGAATCGAGTCACTTTTTTTTGTTTTCTCCCTCGTTTGTCACATGTAAATATATACACGCGCGCGTGCATTATTGAATACGAGTAGATATATATGTGGTATATGTTAAATACATTGAACGTATGTTTAGACTATTCGACAAGTTCTGACCGAGGAGCGCCGCCTCGTTTTTTTAAACGTCAACGAGTGAGATCGTCGCCAGCCCTGCGACTGCACATACACGTTATGTATAAGATATACATATATATTTTTTCCCATATATTTACATAAGCATGTACACGGAGTACGGATATGTGCTGCCACAAGGATGAGCGTAGGTTATTTATATCGAGGGCCCTTTCGCATAAAACGGTACTCCGGACCGTAACGTGAAGTTCTTTGAAAGTAATGTACAAGAAAAAAAAAGGAAAAAAAAAAACAGTGCAAGGAATAGAAAATAGCAATAATACGTACATTAATGTTTGAAATCACTCTGAGAGTCATTGTGGAGGATTCGGGGCTCTCTTCGAAGACTCCTGCGACACATGTGATAAGAGTGCGAAAGTCGTCCCTCGAAGAGGAACCTTGCGATAGCCCTGAAAAGCAACGTCAAATTAAGGGAACGAAAAAAGAAAAAGTAGAGGGAAAAAACAGGACGCAAATGTAGCTTTCAATCGGTCCCTAGATCGTAAGCGAACAAGACTTCCCCTCTGATATTTTAGATAATTTTCTCGCGTGGAAAAAAAACAAAAAACCAGGAGATCCGCCCAGCTCACATTGAGTCGCGCGCGACTTCCCCCCCTTTTTCATTCTTCTTTTATTTTTTTCTCTCCTCTTTCTTCCTTACCCTCGTCGCGTCAGCATTTAGGAATAAATGGAGAAGTCGCGACGTGAGGGATTTTTCGAAAGGAAAACTGACCCATGTACAGGGCTCACCGGAATGTTATTTTTCCAGAGCGAGCTGTTTAACATTTAAGCCGCGATTAGACGAACATGGTCGGCGGAGGATGAGGATTCCTTGTCGGAAATCGCAGAACCGCCGAGAGCGAACAAACCGCGAGTGCTCTTTCCCCCATTTATATATATATATATATACATATGCATATAAATTATTTCTTATACACTATTTAACGCGGAAGATGCGAGTAATATATGTGTAGCATATGTCGATACGTGTACGAAACCGAGTACGCGGAAAGTCGAGCGCCAAGGGCCACAATACCATGTATTGTTGCGAATGGAAAGGGAAGCTCGGCTTAAAGAGACGAGAAAATATGTATATTAATAACCGACCTAGGGTACTGATCAAGGAAATGAAATATGTCCCGACGAGATGACAGAGGCGCGGATTAAATTCCCCAAAGTCGCGTTTTCAAGGAGATCGTCTCTGGCCGGGAAGCGCGAAAATTTCCACGCCGTGGATTTGCATCCCTAAGGAGAGTGACATAATTGTTGTGCGTCATAACGCGTCCCGTGAAGCATTTGTTAAACAAAACGAAGAAAAAGAAAAATAGGCGTATCCGTACGCGACGAAGCATACATTCGATGTGCGATACTCGCGCCAATTTATATATACATATATAAATATTAATCTCGCGTAAAGTTCGAGAACATTCGAGAGTTACTTCGCGAAGAAGGGGATTCGCGGAGTTTCCGCCACTTATTATTTTCTTTCTTTCATTTTTTTTTCTCTCCTTCTCTAATGTACATTAAATACCCAGCGGAGGGACGATTGTTGCTTAATGATAAGCGATTTAACCCTAAGAGGCCCGTCGAGAGGATTGTCAAGCTCTGGTGTCAGGGTGTAACCTCGGTATATCTGGGAAAAGGGGGGAATTTTCACTTTTCCGAGCACACAGGACTTTTCCCCGATCGCCCCGCGATCGGTGCTAATAGCGTGCGAGACACTATATTGTATATGACCAGATTTGTATCGATGTTATTGCAAGTGGATTGTGAAATAAATGTTTTCCTTTTTTCTCTCCGGCGTCGTCGCTCGTCCCGATCGAGAGGTCAGTCCTTCGAGTCAGCCGAGGAGTAATGTATAAATATAGATTAAGTAGGAGCTTTCGCGCCGACAAAGATGGCGGCGTATTACGAGAGAATGCGTTACAGCTTTATTGGATAGAGGGGGTAAAACATTCAGGAGACATTACGCTTAGGCTACGACCTAATAGTAGAAAAAGTCACGCACATTTACACGTCCCCGAGCGGTTCTCTCCACTGTTCGCGGTTCCAGCGAACGCCTTACTCGTCCGATGACCCCTTCCTAGTTGATTTTCAATCAACCTCCCGCGCGGATAAGACCATCCTCGTCCGACCTCGATGGGTCGACAAGGTAGATGGAAATAAGAGGGAGAAATCCCGCAAGAATCCCCCGCCAGTGAGCAAAATGCACATTCGACGAATCCCTTCCTCTCGCCCAAAAGCTCATCGTTTTACTCTGATCGAAAGCCATCCTCCCTCCTTTCGTCGTCGCAGGCGATTCCACATCTCGCCCAGAGAGTCGTCGAGCTTATCTTCCTTCACGGAGAGACGAAGAGACGTGTCAAGTCCGATGAAGCGATCCTCGTCGTGGTCGTGGCGACGAGAAAACGGCGGACTTTTCCGCGAGGAACGTCAAACGCCGCCTCGGCACTTCACACAAGCCTCTCGTAGAAGAGAAGGTAGGCTTGGCTCTGCAAGACCGTCGACTCGTTCACCTCCATGACCCTGAAGAAGAGAGAGAGAGAATTAATCATGGACTCCACGGGTCCTAATCAAGACTACCTGGGCGAGGATAAGAATGATCAGGGTGTACCTTGAATCGGACACGTAATACCATCGACCAGGAGGCGCCTCGACGGGGGTGGGAGGCCTCTCCGAAGACTCGTTGGCCTCGGACTCCGAACTCGACTCGCTAGAGGACTCGTCGGTGTCCTGAGGGACCTTCGAGGGCAGCAGGGACCACCTGCGATCGTCAGGATTCAACGGCTGCCTCGCCTGGAAGAATCGCCAAGTGAATCACCTCTCTTCGTCAACGTCAACCGGTTTATGGGAAGTGGAACAGAAGAGAACCTTCACGTAAGCGACGTAATGTCCACCATGAAGAGTGCCGCTGTGCTCGACGACTCCGTAGAGGGCGTAGAGCTTCGGATTCCCGTGGCCCTTGCACACCGGGTCCAGGTCCAGCAACATAGGGAAGCTGATAGTCTTGGTGACCTTCCGGAATCCCATTCTATGCTGAGCCTGGAACCTTTTCAGGTGAAGGATCAGCACGGCCGGTACTCTCGAGATGAGGTACTGCTTGGTGCTCGGCGTGCACACGGCCTTCGTCGGACCTTGCTTGCCCTGAAGAGAGGTCCACATGAAATCATCCGCTAATTCTCAAGTCCAGTGAATAGAAAAAGGGGTAACCTTGTTCTCCCTCGCGGTGCAGGCCTCGCAGCGGACCTTGTTGCTCCCGTTCATCAGCTCCAGGGCGGTGAACTGGTTCAGGCAGGACTGGATCGAACACTCCCCTTCCTTCGTGAGGTATCTTCTAGGCGACTGTTGCGTCTCGCTGCTGACGCTCATCCTCGAGAGGCTGCAGGTGACCTCGTGGACCCCGTTGATCGTCTGACTCTCGCCGGCCAAGCAGCTGATCGAGCTTTCCTCCTCTTTGCTCTGGCCCGACTGGAACTCGTCGGTGTCCGCGTCAGGATTTGATCTCCTGGATAACCAAAAACTATGAGTTCCTCCTCGAAGAGGCACAAAAAGAGGCGGCGAGTCCGCGTATTCGCACCTGGGTAGTGGATCCTCCTTGTCGCTGCGAGACTCGTCCTCGACGAGGTCCAGCCTGGACACTGGCCTATCGATCTTCTCCGCATTCTGCGTCTCCAGAACTGCCGCCTCCGGGGAGCCAGGGCTCTCCTTGGAGACGTTGGAACTGTCGCTGGGACTGAACACGGGCTCCTCGGGCGTGGTGGCGTCGGAATTGTTGGTCGTCACGACGGAGAGAAGCCATACCGGCAGGACGCCCTTCTCCTTCTCCGAAGGAGTCAGGTCGTCGCTCGTCGCGGAGCCGAGTCTTTCCGGGCTGGGCGACACCCAGGTGGACCTCGTCAGGATATCCCCCATGGAGACGTCCGTGGGACTGGGGCTGTTCACGTTGTTCAAGCTGCTCTCGGCCTTTGCCGGCATGGTCTCGTGGAAGAGCTCTATCGCCCTTATGTACGGAGACCCCACCGGCGACACGGGGCTCGTCACCGCCGAGGCCTTCTCCGAAACGTATCCCGACTCGCCGATCTCCGGTCTGGACGTCCCCAGGTCCGCGCTGTCCTCTGCATCGGCATCGCTCTCTTCTAAGGAACGAGGTAAGTCTTAATCTAGATACCTCGAGCAGTAGTCCGTTGGATCGACTGAACCCTGACATCGTATAATTACGTTTTTTTCTGACAGATTATACGTAAATATAATACCTGTGGAATCTAAATTGGATAAAGAGTCGTTGTTGATGTTGGCGGCATGCTGTCTTCGAATTTTCCGAATTTTCTTCCTCGCGGCTTTCCTCTCCTTTTTCAGCTGATGCTTCGACGGCACGTTAGAGATGTTGTTCCCCAATATGTCGAGGCTTTCTTCGAAACCACTCTTCTTTCTCCTAGGTAACCAAAGATGCAGATTTTTAATCATTCTTGGTTATCGATGAGTAATATATAGAATGTCAACATACTTCAGTATCGGAGGCTGTGGTTTGTCAGCCATGACAGGCAAGCTAAGGTCCAGGAAAGGCTCGGTACGCTGGGACGTATGATGACACTCTAAGCATTCCAGTGTCGACACTAAAACACCACTAAACACCAGCTCTGGTCCCAATAGCCGAGCACTGGCTTGGTTGCCATAGAACTTTACGCGAGATTTCATGCTACCATCAACGCATTCTGGTCTTGTTTTTCCACTAAGACCAACTTCCTTCAAAATAACACTCTGATACCTCTGCCGAAAATCACGTTAATTAATCCATCGATAATAATAGCAGTATCTTCGGCTTGCTCGATCACAACACCTTGCCCTCCTTACCCTGAGATCTTCATTTCGAACTAACTCTAACAAATGTCGAAGAAGTTCGTGAGAATCGTGCTGACCTCCATCCATGCATTGCATAGTTCTCGTTTTGAAGGCATTCAAAAGCTCACTCGGTACATAGGTCTGGTTGCCTGTCGAGTTTTGCATCTCTGTCAGTGTTTTATGCAAAATTGATGTGAAGTTCCCCCACTTTTCCAAGGTTCCTGAGATTGGTGGCTACAATAATATAATAATGGATTAGAAAATATTCATTTACCAATGTGCTCTCGCTCTATAAATTGACTAATTTTATTCATTCCTTAAGTTAACTTATGCTTACTCACCAATTCAATTTCTTCTGAATCTCCGTTCCCCTTGTATTTTCCACCAGGCAGTACAAATCTTTGGCCAGGCTTTCGAAGGTCATCCAGAACTTTAGTCAGAAATGGAGTTTGTGCTAGGCACTGCAGTACCGCATTGAAAAAGCACGTATTACCTAAATTCGCTAAACCCTAAAATTCGAACCACAAACACTTGTTTAAATTGCATTCATCTAAAACTCATAGACTCGTCACTTTATACTAGCAAAGTCATCTTACTTGGCTTCGTCAAATAATGGAATAAAATTGCAAAACCGATACAAACATATTCAAAGCGACACGCCAATACATACCCCTACTTTTGGAAAATGACCAAGAGCATTCTTTGTCTCGTTATTTGAATTCACTACAGTTTGTTTTTGGCACATTGGTGCAGATATCCTAACTGGTTGTACATATATCCGTGGTTGCTTCTCAATGGTTGAGTATTTTGATAAGAACCTGATTACTCTAGAAACGTCTGCCCTGATATGAAATAAAACAAAGTTAATATTATATCAAAGCAAAGTATTTTGAAAAGTTCCATAAAAAATGATACGATTACTTTTTAGGCTCTATATCGCATCGATAACACCAGAGATTCGATGAGTTAATATTAGCAGCGACACAATGATCATGTATTTTATAATGTTGCAGCGCGTGTTGTCTCCCCTCTCTTCCGCAAGCTTGGTTTCCACAGGTCAAGCAAATCCATAAAGATGGTGTTTCCGCTGCAAACTATGAAACGTTTACAAGATTAACTCAATGTTGTATCACATTATCATCTCTAAAGAGTCACGTTACCATCTCAGCTTTCATGTTACATAGAATAACAGTGGTGCCTTACCTCTTCGTCCTCGATTTCGTTGTTGACGGTATCCTTGCACTCCTTGCAGGCACTGCACTCCGTACTGACCCCAGTAGTGTCCAAAACACGCTCCACATTTGGAAGCCTGCTTACCCACGATACATGCGGGCAAAATCGTCCTTCTGTGATGGAAACAAGTACAAAGGAATTTTGAGGAAAAACCGTCCAAGTAAAAAAGATCGAGCCAAGACCAAGAAGGTAGCCGATCGAAAATCTGAGAATCCTAACCTGTACTCGTCGTTTTACCAGGCGTCCAATCCTCCTCGCTGGCCTCGTCTTTCGGATCCTGCTGTCGATTTTTCTGGTTCTCCATCTCGGGGACCGCCAGGATCGTTAACGAGGTAAAACGGGAAGAGAACGATCTACGAAATAGACGATGTCAATGCGGAAACATTTTTTGGTCACTGCGTGGTCATCTCTTCTGGATCGGTGTTCGCCGTGGTGCATTGCTTCTTCAGTAGAAACCTGGATATTTTTAAGAGCACATGGAGAGTCGTCGTCTGCGAACCAACGGGAAGACGTTACCTGGATCCGATAACGGGCGAGAAGAGGTCACAGCTGAGAAAAACTGATTCGAGTATCTCATTACTGCGGCCTCATGGAGGGTGCTTACCGGGTTTACAGAAGGCGAGACTCGGCCTGTTTCCACTCCGTACATATAGGGCGACGGGCGACGCGCTGGACAAGTTCCACAATTTGGACCAATCAGCGAGCAGTATTAGCCGAGCTTCTCGCTCATTGGCTGGCTCTAGTAACCGCAAATCCGTATGAGTCATCCATCTGTCGAACAAGCTAGGTTCACGTCGCCTCGTGAAGGGACTCTACCGTTTGACGTATGGCAAGATGGTGGTCGATTGATAGCGAAGTTTAACGAAAACGCCAGTGATTTTATGGACGCTTATTGGGAACCGAGTCGTCGATCAGGCACTCGCGAGATATGCGACGGGCCCGCAAGTGAAAATTACAGGCTGGAAGGAAAGTGACTTAGGTAACGAACGCCGTAATAACCGCGCGAACTTTGCACTCGTTATCGTCATTCCGCCGCTACGGTGCTATCCGATATGATCGTCGGAGAATTAATATCGGCGAAGTCGCGCCAGCCTTTACGGTGTCTCGCGCTCGTGAGAATTTTGCGAAACGTTTGAGCACTCCTTCGAGGTCGTTTGCCGTTCCAAAGCCAGATCACGTTGTCCTTCCCCCAACCTCACCTAATCTTGCTTCTTTTTGCACTAGATATTGTTGATTCTGTTTCCTCTGTTCCTGTTAATCGGTCCATTACTATCGCAAATTCTGCGCAATGCGTGGGACGTGTGGGTTCTGCTCGTTTACTTGACGCAAAACTCTCCGCTATGTGTTTTGCCTGCGGGATTTGAGAACATAATTAATTCTCTATAAGTCTTCGGGTTTATTTCTTTGACAAGGTAGGGTGAATTCGAAACAAATATTGTGTCAGTTTATAATAGACGTTATGTCGGGTGTAACGATCTCTGTCGTTACGATGTAACAATCGGGAATGTGGGCGAATCTATACTGATGTGTAAATTCAAGAATTATGAAAATGTGGATATTTCCTTTCATAGAATCGTTAAATGATTTCAAGTTATTTTGTATTTGACCAAGAATTCATCGTATTTAAAACTTGTGGCATTGCTGTAGTTCTAGCATAGATAAGTAATTGATATCTATATCAAATATTGCTGATTGCAAGACACCTGTCACCAGAAGCTGTTTGTCATTGCGTAATTGCGTCCAAGACAGAGATACTGGAATGGTATATTTACACACTGTATCAAAGTTTTATTTCTTTGCCCCAAAAAATAAGAAATTCATTTTCTTGGTTTGGTTAACTTTGCTGACATAAATGGTTAAACATCAAAGAAAAAAGAGAATATATTCTTTCTGAAACTTTCTGAAAATGTGTGACTTAAATATGAGTGCATAAATATTAAATAGGCAATACTTGTTGTGTATTTTAGCTAGTACTGCCCAGTGTGGTAGCCAAAGCGGTATGAGTAATCTCTTAGAGGTTAATTGAGTACCGAGAACCAACATACCATGTCCCACTGTGAAGTGGAGGCGGCATCGCCTGGATTCCACCAGCTCAGTATTACAAGTATGTGTTTTGCATTCTATATACTGTTTAATTAAAGTGCTCGATTTATTCTAATACATTGTTGCGGATTGTTCCTGAATTTTAGTTGAAGCAGCAATTTTGAGAAGCACGTCATTTCTTAAGCCCAACCCATACATAGAGTTCTCAGTGGATGATAAAAGTCCTCGAAAGACAGAAGTCTCTAAGTCAACTTACCAGCCTAAGTGGAACGAGGAATTTACAGTGCTCGTTACTGCATACTCCCAGTTGCACTTTCGCTTGCTGGATCACAGCACGTTTCGCAAGGACACTCTCATCGGGGAGAAAAGAATAAGTCTCTTCCATATCCTTTTCCACTACAATGGGAAGTTGGAGAATGTGGAGTTGACGTTGGACCTCATGAGTGAGAGTAAACACGACTCTCAGCTTTCCAAAGTTGGGGAATTGGTCACGGTGTTCAATGGATTAGGGATTGATATGAACAACATAACTCTGCCAACCCTTGGCGAGCAGTTACGTCAGTGTGTACCTAGCAGCGGCACTGCTGCAGTTCCACTTGGTAAGATGGCTACAATATTTTAGTAAAATTAACGCCAGAATACTTCATTCGAATCTCAATTTCTAACCTCCAAAACTTTAATTTTTTTTCAGGAGTAGCAAACAACGACGCTACCAATAATCGCAGTGTTCTGAATGGCGGTGTTAGAGCTCGAACAAGGTCCCATGGATCAGAGAACTCTGCTCCAACTCCAGAACAGCTTACATCGATGCCTCGAAGCTCGACATCGCTCATCCATGGTAATGCATTCTGTGCAATACCCGATAGTCAGTTAAGAATGCGAACTGTTGTATCGAATGGTACGGTGCATCACAACTCTGCTGGAGCCAGCAGTGGTGCTACTTCAGTCCCGTCCTCGCCACCTCTAATACAGCCACCTGTGCCAGGCTCTTCGACAGCGCCTGCAGAAGGAGAGAATCTTGGCCAACCGGAAGAACCACTGCCTGCAGGCTGGGAGATGCGTTATGATGTATATGGAAGAAGGTTTGAAAACAATTTGATGCCCTCTTCGTTCCTTTCCTGCTTGATTCTATAACTACGTAATGGTGTTCCATAGGTATTACGTAGATCATAATACCAGAAGTACATCTTGGGAGAGACCACAGCCTCTGCCACCAGGGTGGGAAGTCCGCAGGGATCCTCGTGGTAGGATTTATTACGTAGACCATAATACAAGAAGTACCACATGGCAACGACCAAACACGGAGAGACTGCAACATTTCCAGCATTGGCAAGGAGAAAGACAATACGTTGTTCAACAGGGCAATCAAAGATTTTTGTATCCTCAAGTAAGTAAAATACATGACATTATAAGCTTATCATTAATTTAATAATGAATATATGTGATCTATAAATTACTTCAACAGGCTCACGGTGGACAAGCTGCCGTAGCAGGTCCTTCAACTTCTACGGTCGACGAAGATGATGCATTGGGACCTCTGCCAGCTGGTTGGGAGAGGAGAAAGCAGCCGGAGGGTAGAGTCTACTATGTCAATCACAAGAATCGAACCACTCAGTGGGAAGATCCGAGAACTCAGGGCCAGGAAACAGGAATGGACGAACCTCCTTTGCCAGATGGTTGGGAAATTCGATTGACGGAAGACGGTGTAAGGTATTTCGTTGATCACAACACGAGGACGACGACTTTCCAGGATCCAAGACCAGGGGCGCCTAAAGGGTATGAGGTGTTTCACGCTTAAAAAATTTGAGGTTACAATCTGTCATGTGTACAAATTGTCATTTTTTTAACAGACCAAAGGGTTGTTATCGAGTGCCACGGGCTTATGAGAGATCCTTCCGTTGGAAACTCTCGCAGTTCCGGTTCCTATGTCAAACCAATGCCTTGCCAAACCACATAAAGATCAGCGTTAGCAGGCAGACACTGTTCGAGGATTCGTATCACCAAATCATGAACGCAGAGGCCTTTGCGTTGAGGCGACGATTGTATATAATTTTCAAAGGTGAAGAAGGCTTGGATTACGGTGGAGTGTCGAGGTAAGCCTTCACCTACAACGGTTATTAGTTGAAACATTAGGGTTGACGTAGAAAAACCTTTCCGAGTGATCATAAAATACCCCTGATGAAAAGTCAAACGAACAAAAGAAAACAAATTTCACACGAATTCGTTTTAACAGGAATAGTGCTTAATTAATATTACATCTATCGATAGAATTAATAAACTACTCGAGTGGGATATTTTCCGTGTTCTGTAATGTTACACCGATAAATTAAAACTATTTTCCTTGTTTCACTAGGGAATGGTTTTTCCTTCTAAGCCACGAAGTGCTGAACCCGATGTACTGCCTCTTTGAGTACGCCAATAAGAGTAATTACAGTCTGCAAATAAATCCTGCGTCCTACGTCAATCCTGATCATCTTCAGTATTTCAAGTTCATTGGGAGGTTTATAGCGATGGTCAGTATTTTGCATGCATACTATTTGCTCTTTGTCCAATTCTTCATCATGTAACTATACGTCTCGTTTTGGAGTACTGGCGTAGACCTTTCATTGTAATCTCCGAATGTTTCATAGGCTCTTTATCACGGTCGATTCATCTATAGCGGCTTCACAATGCCGTTCTACAAACGCATGCTGAACAAGAAGCTGATCATGAAGGACATAGAGTCTATCGATCCTGAGTTCTACAAGTCCCTCGTGTGGATAAAAGAAAACAACATAGATGAGTGCGGCCTCGAGCTGTATTATAGCGTGGATTTCGAGATTCTCGGTCAGGTTATACACCACGAGCTGAAAGAAGGTGGAGACAAAATCAGAGTCGTCGAAGAAAACAAAGAAGAGTACATGAGGTTCGTCGGCGTTGCTTAAGAGCAGTTTACCCGGTCTTTCCGCCTTTTGGACTGTTTTCCTATAATTGAAATCGTTTCAGGCTGATGACCGAGTGGCGCATGACGAGGGGCATCGAAGAACAGACCAAGGCTTTCCTGGAGGGCTTTAATTCCGTGGTGCCTCTTGAATGGCTGAAATACTTCGACGAACGGGAATTGGAACTGATGCTCTGCGGCATGCAGGAGATCGATGTCGACGACTGGCAACGCAACACCATTTATAGGCATTACGCTCGCAACAGCAAGCAGATCCACTGGTTCTGGCAGGTCGGTTCTCCTTCACAGATTTTACCATCTTTCGTTCCTGCTCCTCCACTTAAATCCATTTTCAATCTCCAGTTCGTCAGAACCACGGACAGCGAGAAGAGGGCCAGGCTGCTGCAGTTCGTCACCGGAACGTGTCGCGTTCCAGTCGGTGGATTTGCTGAATTAATGGGTAAGAAGGGGAATTACTTCGAGGTTCTCACCGAAAGCGGCATCGTTCGCGAAACTTTTCTCCAAACTATGTGTACCGAATCGTTTCAAACTTCACCCTGTGAATATAGGGACTGTAAGGAACGTCCGGACACTCTTAAATTTCATGTTTTTAGTAAAAAATTGTTTAAAATGCCTAAACATATTTTTAACCACTTCGGTACGAGCGTCGATTTTACCCGACGGCCGGTGAGCACCGTATCGAAGTGGTTAAAAAATTTAAGTTTCATAGGTGTCAGGACCTTATACCCTCCGTGTTCACGGTGCAGAGTTTGAAGAAAGAAGGTACGCGCAGGAGAGAAATTTCACGAACGAAACCTCTGACACCAGTTTTTGGGTCGTCTTAAACATGATCGGTGTGGATATTTAGTTTGTCGAATTCCTTCTACAGGGAGCAACGGTCCCCAACGGTTCTGCATAGAGAAGGTCGGGAAGGACACCTGGCTGCCGAGGTCGCACACGTGTTTCAACCGCCTGGACTTGCCGCCGTATAAAAGCTACGACCAGATGGTGGAGAAGCTGAATTACGCGATCGAAGAGACGGAAGGCTTCGGCCAGGAGTAACGCGGAGAATCGCGGCATTCCCGCCGAGACCGGACCGACTATAAGTTCCCGGTCCTGGACGCGGCACAGGTTGAGATTTGTCGCCGTGTCGGGACTAGGTGGGTATGATTTACGAAGCTTAGCCAAATCTCGAGTGATCCAGCTCGATCGGTGCAGGGAAGTGTCCTCGAGCCGAGCTTCAGATCGGCTTTTTAGGACCTCTGCTCCTGAGCGTACCGCGGCGAGGCGTAGGGCTTGAAGCCTCTTTTAATCGCTTGGAAGCGCTCTAGAAAAATGATCGAGAATCGATCGGCCCGGTTCTCGCGAGTCCTGAAAATCGGCGGAAGGAAACCTGCGACGGTTTGAGCTCGACAACCCGCGACCGTTCCTCGGGGTAAATTCTATATTTTCCTAAACGTCTCGTCTCTACTTCGTCCCAGGAACGAGTGATTGTACATAAAACAGATAGCGAATAATTAATCCAATCTCTAGCTCGCAAACGGGGAATTGAGCGGTGCTTCCCGGAACGCTGCGGACACCCGCGTGTCTTTGAGAACTCGAAGAGTCGCCGGTTAAGTCTCTTCGTTTGGTGTTTTTTTTTTGTCCTGCTTTGCTTTTTTTGGTCCATGTTTGCTAAATCGTAGGAGCGATTTCTTCTCGGAATTAAACATGGAGAGATTTACAGTCTCGGGCTCGACAAGGTACGCTTCGCTTGCCAAGGTACGCTTCGCCAGTACAAAAGAACGTTTTCTCTTAAAGAGGTGGAAGGATGTGAACTTCCCGTTGGAGGCCCTCGACACTTCCCACACACCCGGCGGTCGCTCGCTAAGAGAGTATTTCGAGTTTCGATGGAAATTCCTCTTGATTACAAATATTGTATATATGCATAACTGAAGACTATACATAATTGTGGTATTTATAATGAATGTTGTCGTGGACAAGTGGCCGTTCGGCGCGAACAGCTGGCGACGCTAAGCACGCTCGCTCCTGATTAAACTGATATTTCTTTTGTCATTTGGACAACTCGTAAACGATTTACACTTGTGCTCTGTCCCTGGATAATATTATTTAACAGTCGATGGAGGAGCGAGCCAGCGAGCGGAGGCCAATAAGTCGGGGGAGGTTTTAATCGCTCGAGGTCGATGTTATGTTGAAGTTTGTCGGAGGATCTGCAAAGTCTACCTGGAGCGAACACCTGAAATGTCTAAATGTTGTCTATGGTCCAAAAGCGCGATGCTTCCGTCTCTCGATTTCTTTTCTCTTGTAAGGAAAGGATATATTTTCCTTGACTATTTCTTCTCGCAGATCCTTCGGCACGTTTCAAGTCATTTCGAGGTGGGTCAGGCTTGCTGGTTTACGGCAGATCGTTCTTTTTTTTTTTTTCTTTTTTGTATATACGTTGCACCCGCGTGGCGAGAACATTGCGCACACTCCGGCTTAACTTTCCGGGGTAAAAAAAAAACGAAATGAAAGAAAAAACGGGGTTCCGCGAGCGAGAGAATTTTACAAAGTAGGGTCGGACAACTGCGGAGGTCGGGCTCAAGGTCTGCGGATTTATTTTCTGATCGTTTACTCGTTTTCTAATGCGATTACTCGGGTCTGTGCGTCTATTACTGTTAACCAGCGCCAGGTGAAGTGACTCCGATGGGTTGAATAGCTTTTCCTCTCGGTGGGGGAAGTCATGTGGCTCTTCGGTGTCACTTCGATGTAGTTGCTGGGAACCTTAGCAGCAGATCGTCGAGCTCACTGTTGCTGTGTTGCGTAGCCGTACCAGAACGATGTAATCCTAAAGTAGAACACCGGTTGGAGAGCGGTTATCGTGATAGCTGATTTCTTGGAATATTCTGTAAATGTGTCGATCTAGCTGGTGAAAAAAAAAACAAAAATTGGGCGTTGTCTCAAGAGAATTTCTAACGAAAAGAAGATGGATTAACTGATGCTATTAATACTGCGACGAAGTTATGCCAGGTGTGCTCTTGCGTAGAATGCTCCAAGAGAGTCGACAGGTCTTCGTGCCAAGTTTCTACGCTTCTAATTTGTTATCACTTGTTACGTGGGGATGGACTTGTGAAATTAACGTGGCGACCTCAACATTTCTCACCTGCACAGAATAGTGTTCACTAGTTGGTAAATCTAACGTATTCCAAAGTCTGTATTTAATTTATAGAATGCTAATGTTATCTTAGTCGGACACATCTGACTCCGGAGGAAGCTTCGAGGCAGTCGTTTACGGAATATTCCAGATCTTGGCTTGCTGTACAAATTGTAGAGCGTACAACTTCAAGGCTACTTATACATCATTCCAAGGGATTACTTAAAAAAACAAAGAGGAAAAATATATAAAAAAAAATGAGAGAGGGGTACAATACTTAAATAAATTAACCATCCGTCAATGGTCAGTTTCTAGCTGGGAAGGAATCGCTACAAAGTAGATTCGATATTCCGGAAAATGCGAGCCCTTGAGAAGAGTGCAATTCTCGCAGTTCCTTTGAGGACTTTAGGGGAATCCGAGAAAGACGCTTTTGATGAATTTTCAATGTTTTAGAGAGAAAAAAAAATGTGGAATGATTTTAGCACGCGTTCCCGCGGTGTTAAATTAACGGTGATGTTTGTTACACGACTGCGCGGTTTGTCTTCTTTCTTGCTTAGGCGGTGGAAAAGCGCAATGCGATTCGGTTATGCGTTGTAGGATAACGTTAATTAGACTGTATATACGTGGCGTGTACAGAAATATACATTGAAATAAAGAAGTTTATAGTTGAAAAGTAATGCCAAGACCTGATTCTTCATTGTTGAAAAATAACAATCGAATGAAACAAGATTACCTTCATTTATTAGTTTATCAAAACTTGCTTCTTTTGCTCGCACTTTACCATTGTCAATATAACGAAGTGATTTTTATTAAACACAAAGCCTTGTACAATGTATTTTCCAGATGTTCAACGAAATTCACTATTTTTGTTTTCTTTTAAGTTATTTCACATCTCCTTTCTGGGACATGTTAGTACCTATTTGGTCTAGTGGATTCTGGAAGAAATAGATGCTGAAGTTTAAAACCGTTGATCTCGATCACTATATGCACTAGTAATATAGTTAGCTAGTTCACCAGGGAGATTACAGGTTAGGACCGAAGAACTTGTGCCATGGGAAATAATTCAGTGAATTCTGATCTTCGAAGGGTTTGTTATTTTGGGTTTCTCTCCATTGTTGATCAAATTGTTTCAGATCATCTGAAAAATTTCACAAGTTTGAATGAAATGACGATTTTACTCCGAGTCTTGATAATCACCGCATAAATTGCGTAACTTACTTTCATTCATATTAATTAGATCTTCGAATTTCGTTTCAGTTCCAGTTGGATCAACTTTCGTTTTGATGGTGTGCACTTTGTCTCCAATTTGCCTGGTGATTACCGTTTCCTTGTTACCTTGACTGTCCGTGAACGTTTTGTGCTTCTCCACAGTTCCATCCGGTCGTTGAATGATCCTGATAGAGTTCATTTTTTTATACGAATGGGATTCAAACGGTTTTGTAATTTGAACTTCTTCGCTCGGTTCCTGTTCACGATTTTTCCAGGCTTGTATCAAGTCTTTTGAATTAAACCTGAAACAGCGATTATAACTTACAACTATATTTACATGCTGTCTGAAGATACTATTGGTACGAATCTTACTTTCCATCCAAAATAGTATCTTCTTTATCTTGCAATGCCGGAAGATTTAAGTGATGTTCTTTATCGGGTCTCAGGAATTTGTCTCGTAAAGAGCCTTCCGATTTTGGCTGCTCAAACGGTAGAGCCTCAAAATTGCCATCGCCTGCCAATTGAAGCAATTTAATTGTTACACTTAAAATAGCTACAATGTATTACTTGAAGAACAGTCACATATTCATTACCAAAGTCGAAGATAGCACCGTTGGACTCGAACCCAGAAAATATACCCTTCATCATGTCATCCATCTGCTGTTCATAATAACGGACGATTCCAAAGGGATCACTAAAGATTTTAAAGTGCATGTCACTGTGAAAATTTCTGTAAAGATATAATCAAAACATTATCACCAATATCAGACACATATTTATCGACTAACGGCTCGCTCGACGTGTGATTCACTTTGGGTTCACTTAACACTTGTAACGAACAATATTTATTATCTAACAAATTTGATACTGCTCTGTATATGTAACAAAAAATGACGTTTGTGGCCAATTACAATTATGATCTCAGTGCAACATTACCTGAAATCATTCTCGTCGCTGTCACTGTCATCGTCCTGCCAAATCGGGTTTCGAAACTTGTCCGTGCACTGGTGATCCTCGAAGCTGAAATAAAACACGCAATAATTTAGATTACGCCCACGTCTCGTAAACGTCAAACTTTCACTCAATTTCTTCAGAATTCTAAATACGTCAGACAGCCAGCTAACCTCTGCTTCGGCGCGTCCTCTCCCTTACCGAAAAGGTTTTTGAAAAAATTAACAATCGACATTTTGCGCTACACCTCGCTCTCGGATCTCTCGAATATTCGTCAACAAAACATTACATCATGTTCGCACTTTGCGCCGTGAAACTAGTGCCAATGAATTCAGACCAGAGATAAGTTGGGAGATTGCTTCTTAGTTGGCGAAGGACCGCTTCCGAAAATAGTTACCACAAAATAGCGCTGGTCTCCACTAGTCGCAAGGATTGTTCATATTTCTAATGCCGATTGACATTATTATAGTACACAATTTACCCACGAAAGCCGCTGCGATCTAGGGATACCATTTTGAAAACCCCGCCTTACCAACGCTCGTCCATTCAGCCCGATAAAATCATTAATTTTTCAAGTATCCTCGATCCATGGCAAAGGATTTAAAACATGGACGTTGGAAACCATCCGCGAGGAAACCATCGATGAATGTCAGTGTATGCTATTTCGCTTAAAAATTTGTGTCGAGCCAGTTCACATGAATGGTCTTGCATTTTCACCACCAAAATCGTTCCGTAATACCGTCAGCTACTCATTTTTCACATTTTCGCTCAATTTACTTTACGTAATAGATCCCCAGAGAAAAGATGAAAATAGCCAGACCCCTTACTTCATAAATACAGATATAACTATTGCGCGGTGCTGCCCTCGCGGTAGCTGAGGAGCGATATGTCCAGGCCGTATCAATGATATGGTACCAGAGGCATCCGCAGGAATAACGGCGCTCGCATCGCAAAAATTTGATTGCGTCCCATTGAGCTCGGCTAATCTCATCTGCTCTCTGAGGATACACAGTGACTGATTAAATAAGGAAGAATACGTAGCAGGCTGAAAAATCAAAAACCAATATACCTCTTTCTTTCCTACGCGTTGGTTTGCCCCCTGGTCTAATATGGGACTTTGGGCTCCGTCCATATATTCATACGACCATGATTTAAAACGGAACGGAAAGAGGGCATGAAAAGTGATAAACCACTTGTGTATTTCGTGCGTCTCGAGCCTCTAATACAATTACTTAGCTATTTGTAAAAACGCGATATCCGATACCCACGCATTATCGACAAAATCGCAGAAGGGCGCCGCGAGGGGTCTCCACGGCGCAGGCGCACACGGGAGTGCGCGTGCGCAGAACGGCACGCCTCGAAGCGCGCACCGCAGTATACGAAGCCTTTGGCTGCTAACCTATGCGATTAATTATTTCCCTCATTAAATCTAATGCCAGTAGAATATCTCGGCATAGCGGTTGAGCCGACGCGGAGGTCGGTCTGGCCGCAACATCGGATCTTCTCGTACGTTTTCGTTCATTGCACGATGCGTCGCCACCATGCCAGGGCTGATCACCGCCGATCAGCGGTGGTATTCTCAACGAAGCGGAGCTTCTCGACATGGGGGTGGGAAATGGGGGATAACAGGCGCCACAGGTAGCGCCACGTTGCGGGATCCCCGTCACCTAAACGGTCCTTCGCTCGACCGGGAATGCCCCGGTCGGCGACACACAGCGTCCACCGATTGGCCAGTAGTAAACCAGCCAACCTGCGGCACACCGAGTCTCTGTTTGTGCCACGACCAAGGTCGGCAGGATGGGTTCCTCGAGGAAGACCACCGCGTGATATATCGGCGGTCGCTGATCGATTACATGGCCAGGTATTCACGGTGATCGCTCCTCTACGGGGAATCCTGGACGACGTACGCAGCACTGGTACGTCCCGGATGTCCCTCGTCTCCTGCGCTCCTATCCCTTGGTCGCCGGGTCTAGCCAATCCTGGAGGCGTTGCAGAAGCGTCCCAGGAAGTAGAGAAACCTTTTGGCGAGAAGGCCGACGTCTACCAGGGTCCCTGGGTAGAGCCTCCTCGACTCGCCGCGCGGACGGCAGCGCTCTAACTTGCCGACGCGTCGCTGGGGCCTTTGCCTGCGCAGCTTCTGCCGCCGCTGTCGCCGTCGTCCTCGTCGCCGTGGCGGCGATCCCGGTCGACGCGAAACCTGGCGATGTCGACAAGGCTTCGGCGACTCTTCCGGTACGCGAGGACACTCGGACGACGGTGACGGTGAGGCCGGGAGCGGCCTTACTTGGGATCACCAGTTGGCCATGCCGGGTTTGTTCAGCGTCATGAAATATATCTGGCAGGAGCTTCCGCCCTTCGCCGAGGAGAAGAATACCTGCAAACCATTTTATCGTTCAAAAATCTAACCTAGCACCAATGTAACATAACCTATGTAACCCATGTATGGGATAAATTAAAATCTTTTTAGAATTAAACTCAGACCATTCTCATAATTCCAGTCACGGATAACAAGAGCACCCGTTTCGCGACACGTTTCGTTTAAATGCCACGAAGTACACTAAGTGAACGCATTTTGTTTCTGGCCCAACCAAAGAGATTCCCTCGATTCGCTCTGACATCCGACTTCCTGCATATTTAGAGATGGATATTTTCTAACCCGAGTCTTCGACAGCATATTTAGACTCTTGGCCGCGAAATTCAAATGCACCTCCCCGCAAAAGCCGCCCTCGATGTCGATAATCCGAGCGCTGTACTCCGTGCTCGTGTACTGCTTCACCCTATTTTTCGCAATATACGTGATGTTGGCGAGCGTGCTCCTGTTAGGTTACATCCTAGGATTCCATCCCAGGAACGCAGAATCCGGCGTGCGTAGCCATTGACGAGTTCCCCCTTAACCGCGTAATCGGGGACTCACTTTGTCATTGCGCTCGCAGAGGAACTTGAGCCTCTGGGCCTTTTTGTGCATGAAGACGCCGTCCAGGTGTCCGCTCTCGACGCTGCGTATCTCGATGGCCTTGTTGCCCCAGCCCATGATCTGGCCCGTGCCGATGTAGGCGACGCTCGTCGGCATCTCGCCCCACTGAAGGACCATCGTCTTCGAGACCCTGCCGTAGGTGTTGACGTAGACGCCCTCGTTGTCGTAGCAGAGCAGGAGCTGCATCCCGTTGCTGTTGGGCAAGGCGACGATGCAGTGCGGACAGATCGGGCCCTGGGTCTGCAAGATGTGCAACGTCCGGTTAGACATAAACCTTATGACGTCAAATGAAATACGGATCCCATCAATGAGGGAACCCGGCAACCCCAGGAGGAACACCCACGTGTTTCGGCAAGTAGATGTCGTAGACGGTGGCGGAGTCGAGGTCGACCGCGTGGAATCCATCGGCGCTCCCGTAGATGACCTTCAGCCTGGTCCCCTCCTCGACGGTGAGGTCCACGAGGAGAGGGCGATGCGCGAGCTCGCCGAAGGACTTGAAGGCCATGAACTTGTGGTACGGTTTCGGCGCCCAGGCGTAGATCTCGATCGAGTCCTTCAGGGCGATTACGAGAAACTTGATGCGCTCGTATTTGACTATTTTAAAATGCACCGCTCCCTGAAGGTCTCCCACGTTGATCCACCCGTTGCGTCGCTCGACTTGCTGTCGGACAAAAAGAAGATCCACGTAAAGAGGGCTCTACTTTTAAAACCGTACACCTGGTTACTACGGTAAATCTTACATCGCTGTGTCCGTCCGTGCGGAGGATCTTGCTCTTCAACCAGGAGAGGTAGTACACCCTGACGCGGTTTTTCTTCCCGCTGATGGTGACCAGGATGTTCTGCCCCTCGAGGACCTCCATCTGCTGGAACCGTCTCCTGCTGATCAGCTGGTACACCTTGCCCTGGCCGCTCCGGTCCAGCAGCATCAGTCCGTTTTCGGTGCCGATCAGTAGATTAACTCCTACGTACATTACACATATACATACATTATACGTAACACATATTACAAGTCGATGAAAAGCGACTGCATAGCAAACGACCTTGAATAAAAATCGTAAAATATTCTACTAGCTCCAGCATTAAGGGGACATAAAAGTGGCATCGTAGAGGTCGATCGTTCATGAAACTTTTCTTCGAACCGGGTGTACCGAATCGTTTAAAACGTTACAACGTGGACATCGAGGCTATAATTAAGGTCCTGACACCCATGGCATTTCATGTTTAACAAAAATTAAGAAAAATACCTATAAACAAATTTCTTTAACAATTCAAATTTCATGATTCTCAGAACCTTTCTTATAGCCTTCAAATTCACGTTGTAAGCCTTGAAACGATTTGTTACACCCAGTCCTGAGAGTTTCATAAACGAAGATGGCGCCACTTTCACATCACCTTAAGATCTCATCAACTCCCTGATAAGCTTGTATAGCTTCATGATCCCTGATTGATTGCGAGGGATGATGATTGCGTTTCAGCACCTCGATTGGGATTAATTCATCTTCTCGAGGCTTACCCCACAAAGCGGCGCAGAGTATCTCGCTGTTGAACCTCTTCTTGTACTTCCTGATCTCCGGGGTGTCGGAGGCGAGGTCGTGGCTCGTCGGGGTGACGTTAACGTTTACGTGGGATTCCCTCCTGGCGGGGCCGGCTCCGAAGCCAAAAGTCAGGAAAGACCTCTGCTTCTGTTGGAGCGCAAGAGGAGGAGATTTAACGGCCTGTCGGTACTGCAACAGAGATGGCCGTATAAATTAACTGGTCCTCCGAGGCCGGCTGGTCGCAGGCGAGGTGCCTCCCTTAGAGAAAGAGCGATCGCGTAAACTACGAGAGACAATGAGAACACAAGCGGAAGTCGAGAAAGAAAGAGTCAGAGAGATAGATAGATAGAGAGAGAGAGAGAGAAAGACAGAGAGAAGAGGCGGACTGACTGGGCCGGACTATCGTAAAAGTGCGAGAAAAAACGGCCGAGACAGCTAGACGGAGACGGGTCGGTGCAGGCCAAGAGACACAGGCCAAAATACCTCGCATCGGACTAATCGGAAAAGAAACTTCTCGAAAGTGCGATCGTCTACGCGAACATGTCGCTCCGAGCGACGCGGAAGGAGAGCGCGTACCTCTATATAACCCTTTATAACCCTCTTCGCCACGTGACTCCTTAAAGATAACAATAATCGCAACATTATATATAAAATCCCGCCATACTGGATTTTTCAGGCGTAACTTAACCTCGAAACTTATCGTTAGAGCGCTCCCCCCTAAGAGGGTCTTGATAAATTCTAGATTTATAACTATATAAGCATATAAACTCGTAATAATTTCTAGAGAAATAATGTGTCGGATGATGACTCGCAGATTTGGCCAATTGTACGGTTCTTCTTTTTTCTTTCTTGGTAGATTAATTAATTAATTAATTGAGTTATACAGGGTAGTCAGGGCGAGACTCCGCGCGCTCTCCTGTCGCGCCCCTCGCGGTGAAGAAATATACTTACATGGCAATTAGTATTGGGATTGGGATGGTCAGTAGAGAGGATCCTGCCCTTCGCGTTAGAGCTCCCGTGAGTCCCACAACACACAACATAATACTGAATTAGTTACGTCGGGCTTGTCTATCGGGCGCAAAATGGCGCCCATCTAGGACCTCCGATCGGCCGAGCGCTCAATGGCGCATTCTCCTCGCATCTTCGCTAAATCTTCATTTTAACGCCAAGTCGAGCGAAAGGGTCTGCAGACCACGAGAGGAGAGGGGAAACAGCCAGAAGAAAACGGGACGAGAGCCGAGAGAACGAAAGTTAGAGCGACCGCCACCTTCGACGTTAATTAGGCAATATCGATTAATACCGGTGATCCCACTGAATGGTCGATATTAATTTCACAGACTAGGTGTTAATGTTACTTATTGTCTCGTCGTTAGATTCGACGTTATCGGTGTTATCGGCGTTAATGCTATTCGTGTTATTGCCCTCGATATTACTGGTGGCGTCGATGTTATCGATATTAATGCTACTCGGGTTAAATAGTTATGCTCGACGTTACTGGTGGTATCGATGTTACCGATGTTAATGTTACACGTGTGTTACCGATGTCTGACGTGTATCGGGCATACCGAGATATCGGAAGTTTTTTAGGAAGAGACGGATCCAGGAGGCGGATTGGAGGAGCCGACATGCGGGAGAAAAACTACTCTAGTTGGGCAAAATCGCGTTAAAGGGTTAAACCGACCTAATTAGCGTACAATGGCGGACATGTATGTCTTAATCGTAGATCGGCGCATTATGGAAGGCATTTATGCCCGCCACTGTACCCTGCACCCTGTACACCGGGGGACATAAATGCTCTTTCTCCATACATGGCGCCGTTGGAATACAACGAGAAGACATTTATGTTCGCCCCTGCACAGGCGACCAGGAACTAGTAGATCCTAACCTGGGGCACAAGCGGTGTTTGATACAGCGGTTCGTTGATAATGAAATAATGAAAATAAGTAGGCGACTAGTCGGTCAACGGTGCTCCTCGTGTGTAAGTATATATACATATTGAATTGAGAAAATAATTACCATTATAAAATTTACATTCCTAATTAGGCCGGCACTAAATGTACTACTGGCCAGCGCGGTCATTACCATTCGAGTCTTGAAGTGGTTTAAAAAAATTAGCCATTCAAGGAGTAGACATGGCACTCTACGAGAAGAAGAAATCGCTATTCGAGGGGCCTGAAATCGATTAACGAGAGTGACAAGAGTCTCTAGGAAGCGTCTCCACTCTATATCAAGAATTTTACCCAACTAGGAGAGATAGAAAACGGGCTGAGAGAAAGAACGTATATAGCGAGGCGGATCGATTAAGCTCTAAACTCGTCAACGGTGGTCCAGATAAGTAACAAACGACAATGTATCTGACCTCCTCGCTGGTTGACTTGTCTTGACGTTGACTCGGTGACGACGTCAAAAGGTCAGGAAGAACCGAGCTGGGTCTCGACCCAGGAGAAGTATCCGACCTCTGAAAATCGCAACCACGTCTGTCTCCGCTCTCTCGGTTCTGCAAAGCACAATCAACATTATTAATATACACGCCAGTGGATACGTAACGAAGGTAAACCAAAAAGATTATCAGCCTATCCCAGTCCATCCCGAAGATACCGAACTAAAACGAAAATCCTGATGCTCTCAAAGAATCCGTATAATTCCCCATAATTCCCCAAAAGCAAAGTCAACCTCTTCTCCGTCGCGATCGTTAGTGGGAAGCTCTCATCGGGGTATGAATGTTAACCGGTGAGAAACTCCAAGAAAAAGGTAAACAAAAATTGTAAAACCGTCTCTAGGGGAGGAATCACGCTTGGTGTTAGATTAAGGGAAGCGTGGATTAAACCTTCGGCTTAGAAAAAAAAAATGGTTAAGGGTCGCCGCAAGAACATCGCACAGACTTTTCCTCTTCCGATCTCAATAATTATAGTGTTAATCACGGGCACGAGGAGCGGTTAAAATCCCCTAGGAACACCAGCAAGGTCCGTGACCGATGGAAAGTCTAAATCCGGTACTCTAGCATAAACTTTCCAGTGACAAAAAAAAAAATATCAGATTAAAACGTAGAAAAGAACAAAAAAAAATAACAGAAAATGACCGTAAAGTTTCAGCGCAAGAGTCCAGGTGTTACTTGGCACTTTTCTCATTTTTCTCTCTTTTTTTTTAAAGGAAAATTTGGTTAAGCCTCAAGTTAGGCTAGCAAAAAGGTTCCAGTCACCACGGTCCAGCCTGGCATGCAGATATACAGGTGCACACAAAATAATATCGACGACATCTAATCACTGTCGCCGGAATCGACAACGACCAACGACGACCACACAACGATAACGACACAGCGAAACGGATAACAGCTCGACAACGACGGTTCGATTTTTCGAAGTGTCAACAGACGTACACATGTGTGGCTACAAGTGTATGTATGAAAAAAAAAAACGTGTGTAAATATATACACTTTTTTTTTTTCATATCAAAGAGTCGAGAAAATTCGATGAAAAGTGCACTCGGCGAAAGCGTGGTGCAGCAACGAGGGTTACACTGATTGTGAGAAAACAATTTCATTGGACCAAAGAAATATCTTGTCAATTCAAGGAATAATTATTTGACTCGAGTGAACTCGAATTAAATGGATGCGACATTACATCGGAATCATCACAATTTGAGTTCATTTGAGTGAAATAATAATTCCTGGGAGTAACGAGATATATATCATTGGTTCGATGAATTTTTTTCTCAGGGTAGCTACCGCGAGTCGCACGGGTACGTACCGCTGGTGTACCAAAAACACTGACAATACGAGCGAGGTGTTAAAAAAAGGACAAGAGCGTGCATACGGTCATGCGTCATGCGTGCGCGCGTGTGACCTCGAACATGGCCATGCCGCGATCCTGACCTACCGCACCGTGACATATTCGCGACGCATTAACGCCTCCTCTCGGCGAGAATCGCGGGAAAACCCCAGAGGACTCGCTCACCCTCGCGTCAAAATCTGTTAGCACACAAAAGACATGGTTATTCGTTCACACACCCACACATACGAGTCAGGCGCAGAATCCGCCCAAGGTCCACCTAATCGTCCTCGAACGTTTCTCCGCAACGGTGCGCCACATCCAAGAAAAAAAAAAAAAAAAAAATGAAAGAAAAAAAGCCACGATCCTCAAAATCAAGGTTCCCCCTCGACAGAGTCCAACATCCGTCCTCGGACTTCCTCGATAAAATGCACCGCTGCGGCGGGAACCCTTCCCCAAGGGTTTCCAAAATGGCGGACACGATATACAAGGCGCCACGTCGAGAGCGGAGTCTAAAAGCCCAACACTATTTCCTCCCCACAGTGCGTAATTTCCCTGTAGCTGCTACTTAAAAAATAGCCGGGCTATTTTTTATTAATTATTCCAGGTAATCAGCACCCTGTCTAAGCCCCTAGTCCGGGATATTTCGACCCCCTCGACAAGGAGCAGCACCACATAAACCATGCCCACCATTCCGTCCACCCGGAGCGATATCCGGAGACCAGGCGACCATAAAGAAGATCCGAAAAAACTAAAAAAATAAAGAATACCGAAAATATTAGGAGGGTGAGGACCCGCCCTGCGGAAACAAGCGAAAGGATCGCCGCCAGAAATCTGGCGCCTCGACGAGGAGTCGCGGCACTCTCCGAGAAGAGCAACATCTCCATGCGGTTATTCACGATCCTGGACGGCGAGCGTTAATTCGGGGCGGCCCGGGATGGAACACACACACAGCGGCCTCCAGGGCCCTTTTTTCTTTGGGTCGCGCCCTCTCTCTCGCGCCCAGCGACACGCCGGTCTCGCGCCCTCTCTCGCACCGTCCTGGACCGGGGGCCGTTCGGCAGGCAGGACCCGGGCGGAGGAGAGACGCGGTAGTTAGGGGAGGCGGTGGTGGTGTGCGGTGGACTGACCTGAGTGCTCGCGGTCGAGCCGTACTCGCTAGCCGCCGTCGTGCTCGCGCTCGTACTCGCAGTGGACTTTAAGGTCCCGCTACTATCCGGGTCGCCGAGGGGTCTGCGGTTGCGCCGGCCAGTCCTCTCGGCCTCGAGGGAGAACCGGGACTCGACGTCGAGCCGGCGGGCCTCCAGCTGTTCCCTCAAGTCCTGCCTATTCCCGATCACGATCTCGCTCTCGGTCTTCTCGCGTCTGGGCCTGAGGGGGGCACCCCCCGCGGCGGGGGCGGCGGGGGCGCCGCGGCCGCCGGCGCCCATCAGGAAGTCGGTCAGCACCGGCTCGCCGGCGACCGCGGCGCTCCTGCGGCCGACGCTGGCCTCGCTGCCCCTCCTGCTCCCGCTCGAGAAGATGCTCGGCCTCGTCTCGCTCTTCTGCAGGTACGCCGAGTGCCGGCTCGACGGGAAGAAGTCCGAGTTCTCCCGGCGGAACGCCCGCGCGAACGCGCTCGCCTTGGCCAGCTTCGAGTCCGACTCCTGGCGACGGTGGAGAGGCTTGGGGGCCACCTCTTGCTGGCGCTGCTGTTGCGGTTGCTGGCGTTGCTGTTGCGGTTGCTGCCAGCCGCTCTGCTCTTGCTTGGCCGCGCGCTGGCGCTTCTCCTCGTCCGGTCTCTTCCTTTCCAGGGTCTTCCCCGCGGCCGGCAGGGGCCGCTCCTCGGCGGTGGCCGCCTCCTGTTTCATTTTATCCAACCTTTCGTTAAACCCTTGGAAGAAGCGGGCAAAGTTCCACTCCTTCAGGAGGAGCTGCTCGTCTACCTCTGAGCGCCGGTCGCCTCCAGATTTATCGTCCGGTTGGTTAACTTTCTACGCGGCCGTGGGTGTACCGGGTGTAACACGTCCGGGGTATGATGGAACGACAAAACAAAAGTACATGCGTAACTGCGTCAGATCATCGTTTACATGGCACCGAGGTGGCTTCGAAGGTGTATGGGGTGTCGGAGTATCTGTATGTAACTTGTGTATGTATCTCGTGTACGAGTAACTATGTCGTGTATATATACGTGTACGTGGACGGACATGTAGCGTGCATTGGTTGCAAGACAGACGGAAGAGACAATCGGGCGGACATGGACCTGGACGTGCGAATGTTTTTTGGATCGTCGTCTCTCCGGCACCTGCTGATGATTTCGGACTAGGAGACTTCTATATTTCGGACCTCGCGACCCCCCCGGGAAGTCGTGGCCAAGGCGACGCTTCTTTCGTCCGTCGCGATCGGGTTCTCGAGAGTGCACGCCACCCCAAAAAACATCCCTCTTCGAGGTCACGCCGGGCGCAAAATGCATACACTGGTGCATACGGATGTAGATTAAAGGGGGAAAAAAAAAATGAAATACATGTAACATCGAGAGGCGGACGAAGAACGAGCTGAACACACACAGGAGGAACGGACACGCAGACAAACGGGCTAACGAGCGAGTAGGCGTGCAAACGTGGCGGCATCTCGGCGTTTCGGCACTTCGTTTAGACACCTCGTGGGTGCCTCGACGAAATCTCTGTTCTCGCATGATCCCGGGTATCGCGAGAATTGCGAGGACCGACCAGGGTATCACGCCCTCGTCGGCCATGGCGCGCTTTTCTCCGGGATTTATGTGCCACTGGCGAGCTGATAGCGACAATCGTTATCGACCATCCAGAGTGTATCCTCTTTCTTGGGTTAATAGCGGAGCAGAGAAGCCGGGACAACGGGCCGAGAAGGTCGGAGAGGGTCTCCTCGAAAAGGTCGAGAGGATCGCCTTGAACCTCTTCGAGCCACCCGGCTGATAAACGAGGTCGATCGACGTGACCTCGTCGGGAGAGACTCGGGGTCAAGAGACCCTGACATCTCGCCGCATTTAGCATCCGGGGCGGCTCGAAAATCCTCGCTTTTCGGAGGACCCTTCGTTGGTCCCGTTCCCATGCTCTGGTAGAAATTAGCCACGAAGATAGCGTTAGTAAAAGCTCGACTGTCACCGATGGCAAGCGACGAGTCAGCTGATAAAACCTCGACGGTCACGTCTCCCTTGCACGTAAAAGCGTCCTCTTCGGGATCTTTCCTCGAGGCGTTACTTCGAAAACGGGCAAGAAAGCACACCGACAAACTGGCCGAATAATTGCGGTAACCGAAAGCTCACCTAATTTCCCATACCAATTAATACTAATTAATACCAATTACAACATGACTCGTGATAGTAAAAAACAAAGTCCAGAGCGAGACACTTAATTTCGCATAGGGATTAATACAAACGACCAAATATCGAAGTTAAGTCTCCTAATTGTAATTATCAAAGTCTAGGGCGAGCCACCTAATTTCGCAAACTAATTAATACCAATTGCCAAACATCGAATTTCAGTCTCGTAATTCTGAATTTAAAGTCCAGATCGAGACAACGAGGCAGCGATCGGTTACCGGCAATTTGCCCAGCATCGAGGCCCATCATTGACAATGTCAGTTAGCGACCAATATGCGATAATAGATATTAGTGAAGTACCGATAACGGCCGATATATATGTACAGGATTATAGTCGACGATGCACGGCAAGCAAGCCAAGGTCGCGCCGAGAGAGAGAGAGAGAGTTCCAAAGCGAGTACAAGCGACATCGGCGCTAAACGAAGTACAGTCCTCAGAGATCGGGCATAGAAAGTAGTCACTACAACGTCGTCCTGGGTGTGAAAGATGAATTCGGGCACGCTCGCAAACCTGGGCCTCCCTGGATTAAACTTACTCGTTTCATCACGAGAGTGCGGTCACCGGACTCCTCCTCGTCGGGTGTCGGGGGCAGTGGTCGGTTCGGAGCTCCACCTGGAATTCGTAGATAGTCTCAATAAAGGGTGAAAATCCGGAACCAGATCTCCGAATAATTAAATAAAATCCAACATTCGCTAAACAGTGTATATACAAAATTCAAGGTGATGCGACAGCGGTCCTCCGAGAGAGGCCACGAAGAGGGATCATCCCTTCCTGGAGGGAAGTCGAGGAAAAAAATATTATATATATATATAATAAGTCTCGTTACTTCTCGCAAGGGAACATCGCATCACTTTGGGACAGATCTGATCTATCCACGAATTCTTCCCGCGTAGAAAAGAAGTCGTCGATAGGCAACGGGTTGAATATATGAGCCCTCGCGTGGCCTTGACTTTGCTTACCTTCGTGGTGGGAATTTTGTACGTTGTGCGAGGAAGCGTCCGACGACGGTCTGAAAGGAGAAAATTCAGGGCTGGAGCGCCAAAAAGCAACGGCCGGTACGATCGGCGATCGCCAGTAATGATCAGCGATGGGCCGGTAACGAGGGACGATGACGGCCGCACGTTGACGGGGCGAAAGCGTCGTGAGGTATGACGAGGCGACGGGTGTTTGCGTGTGTGTATTTTTTTTTTTTTTTCTCGTGAGATGCGATGATCGTGGACCGACGTGGCGTCACGTCGAGGTATGGCGAGGTAGAGGATGAAACAACGAGACATTAGTTAGACTCCGCGGCCGACTCCTTCCCCTACTCTACCCAACCCGAAGACGATGCTGAAGCGGCGCTGCGACATTCGATCCCGGTTAACACTAGAACTACCGGCGAATAATATTTATTTTTTTTGTATATAATGGGCCATTTGAAAACAGTAATTTTGACTACTCTTGGTAGTTCTAGTGTTAAAAGCATGCACTTGGGTAAGGTGTTATGAAAGTATCATATGCATATGTGCACCGAATATAAAAATGTTGTACATGTTGTAACGTACGCGTAGAAAATCACGCATTAAGATACGTTATTAAAATTCACATCCCAACGAAATTTCGTGAGTATCGAGACCTTCGTTAGTACCTCCACGATATATCACGCGTTGAAGTTTCAGATTATTCGGTGCACCTAGTACGAAGAAGTTAAACCAATATTTTGACCTTTTGATATATACGAAGAACGTGATCACTTCGTAACACCTTAACGATTGAAAAGGCAAGAACTAGCGGAATTTCCGCGCTAAGAGTCGAGCTCCAAAATGGCCCAGAAGAGACCGTCCAAGTATAAGCAACCAAAGCGAAGAAGCGAAGAACCCCCAAAGAGTCTCAACTCACAGAGGCTTGGGTGGGTCGCTGGCCAACAGGGTTCCATCGTTCCTGGGGTTGTTCCCGCTGACGTCCTCGATGTCGTCGTCGCTGTCGCTCTCGATGGACAGTGCCTGGACAAAAAGAAAGACGAGTCACCGGTCGGCGTCGATGGAGTCGAGCCTATCTCGGAAGAGAGGTCAAGTCCTTCGTTGGAAAATGGCTCAGGAAGAAGTTCTCCAAAGGACTCGTCTCGGTTACTTTGGGAAGAGGGGCATGCAACTCCGGAGGCTCCCGACTATCAAGCAAGGGATTCTAAAGCCGGATCTACCCTATCCGGCACGTATCGTTTCAGACAACGTTTAGACACGTGCCGGTGCCGATCCGACAAAACATACAAACATACTTGCGTTTCCCTGGCATCGTTCACCCTGCATGCAGATAGGCGTACGTCGGATAGTTTGAACTCGACCATAAGGATTTTCTACCGCGAGGGTTTGGAAAAATAAACCAGAAAAAGCGGACAAGGGTCGGTCGAGTTGGTAGCGAGAGATTAAAAAGCGGGTAGAACGTCAGGTCGGGGGGGCCAGGGCGTCGAGGAGCCGCCAGGAGTGGAAGGGAGGGTCCTGCTGTCGGCGGTGGCACACGAGGTCGTTGTCCTGCTTACTTGCTCGAGAACACTGGCCGCCCTGGGCCCGTGCTTGGGCCTCTCCGCACCGGGTTGACCGCCGACGTTGCCGCTCGCAGGTTGGGTGCCAGCCGGGGAGCCCTCGGGCCCGTTGGTGGTGGCGCAGCTCGCGTTGACGACGCCGCCCTGGCCGGAGGTGGTGGTCTTGGGCTGCCTGTTGGGCCTGGGGGGGGCCTCGGGGCCCTGCGACACACCAAGCTCGTTCAGTTGCGCGGCCAGCGTGTCCAGGTCCTATCGCCACCAGGTAGCGCGCACCCCGTTAGTTCTCGGGAGGAGGGACCCTCCGACTTCGTCTTACAGCAGCCACCGACGACGGGGAAGTAAAGGACCAGGAGAAAGACGCAAGATTTGGAAAGGTGGGACATCGAAACTGGAGACCCATTCCACAGAGGACCCTCGTTCAAACTCTACCTCCCGGTTTCACGTCGGCATGAATGCATATATATATAGAGCGCGATAAAACCCACAGCCACGGTTCACCACTATCCTCGTCGAAAATGTAATCAAAAAGCATTATACAATTTCTTATCTACGGTGTATACTTTTCGACGTCATTTTGGATAAGGATAGCGAGGTGTCCCACCGTGTACCCCAAGAATTCCGGCACACCCTGGATATAATCGCTGTTTATCTTTTGACGGATCCCTTGTCTGGAAAGGAGGGTCCTGACGGTGGAACGAAGTCCTTCCGGAGATGAGTGGACAGGGATCCTGATAGGAGCCGACATAGAGATAAAAAGAGAGAGAAAGGCGAGTCAGGAGGGCGGGAGACCTCTTACCATGGGCTTGAACACGTGACTGTTTCTCTGGGGAGCCGGTTGACCACCGGAACCACCGCTGCTTCCGGCTCCCGGCATCGGGGCCTGGTGGTTCGAAGGTGGCGTCGAGACCTTGTGCACCTGGCGCGGGTCGTCCCGCGGGGTCGGGGGCAGAGGGCGCGATGGAGGCTGCGGGTCTGGCACAACTGATGGGATGAGAATATCAGACCGGAAGATTGATGGTTCCCCCTCGAGCGGCCCCTTTGCGGAATTTCGATCCGCTAAGGGGATCGTAGGAATCGGAAGGACCTACCGATGAGTCTGTGCGGAATGGCGGGCCTCGCCGGAGGTCCTGGTTCTGCCACCTCCCTCCTACCCTTGTCCTTGACGGGAGGCTGAGCAGCATCCTGCGTCAGCGTCCTACCTTCCTGGATCTGCTGGAAATTGCGACGCAAAGTGTCTCCGCCCGGGGCCTGCACGATAGAGGAAGGCTCCCCAGCTAGCGCGGGTTCCTCCTCCTCGTTCTCGCTGCCGCTGTACCGGTAGTCGTCTCGCTCTACAAAAATAATACCGGATCATGGAGATAGCAGGAACATTAGACAAGATGTTAAATCAACCTCGAGAAATCCACCTTTCTCCTGTTTACGCTTTTTGCAGCGATCGATGTGATCCTTGAGCTGGATCCGAACCTGCCGCTCCGTTGGTTGGTCCCGGATGAAAGGATGCTTCAAGAGCTGTTCCGTGTACGGCCGCTGGTGGTAGTCCTTGACGAGGACGGTCTCGATGAAGCCGTGGAACTTTTTCGCCCACTTCTTCGACTTCAGCCTGGGCGGTGGGTTGCGCGGTATCAAGAAGAGCGCCTACAAAGCGGAGGATACGATGAGGGAATTCCTGAGGACTCGAGAGCAGGTATTCTACATAAATTTAAGATTTACCCTCATGGGGTGAAGATCGCACAGCGGAGGCTGCGACTCCGCCATCTCCAGGGCGGTGATACCGAGGGACCACAGGTCGCTCCTGTTGTCGTAGGTCGCGTCAGGGTTCTCATCGCAGGCTATCACTTCAGGGGCCATCCAATAAGGCGTACCGATGAACGTGTTCCTTCGGCCGATGGTTCGGTCCAGTTGTGCGCTTACGCCAAAGTCGACTAACAAAGAAGAAAGGTGTAAGTTGAAAAATAAATATTTCTCGAAGTCGACGAGCCGAATTTTGGCGTCAGGTATCCGATGCCGTTCGCGCATGCTTTTGAATGCCGCGAAACCTTACCGAGTTTCCTGACCAATATTTGTGAGGAAAAAAAAAAGAAAAGAAGAAAAGAAATAAAAGAGAAGTTCTAGCAGAGACATCGCGCCTACCCAACTTGACTTCGGCATTGTCCGTAAGCAGGACGTTCTGGCCCTTGATGTCCCTGTGGATGACTTTGTTGCTGTGGAGGTAGCTTAGGCCCCTCAGAATTTCCCTGGAAATGTACGCGATCCACTCCTCCTTGAGGCTCTGGCCTTTGGTCGACTTGACCAGATCCGTGACCGAGCCCGCTCCGCAGTACTCCATGACGAGCCATAGCTGGTCGTCCTTGCCGGCAGGCGACTTCTTTATGAAGGCCCCATAATACGTCGCGATGTTCCTGTGGTTCGAGTACTGGAAAACGATACGTGAGTCAGTCACCACCTCGCCCACGAATGATAAGGAATTAATATGTCATTCGTAGCGATATAATAAAACTATGGAATCTACGATCCCGGCCTTTCTTCGTTAACCGATCCTGCGACGTTTTTCCTTGAATTATCTCGGCGATGCGGAGTCATCGGGCCCGACCACTCACCCTTTTCAAGACGTTAATCTCCAGCTTGATTTCCTCTTCCTCGTCCTGAAACGGAGAGCGGGCATTAATCGGCGAGCCGTTCGCGGAAGGAGCCGCACGGATACGGTGACGGTGTTTCGCGCTCGTGCACAAGTGCACAAAATGCACAAGTGCATAAATGCACGACTTCGCAACGAGAAGTATCTCTGTACCGTTACGGGTGCATCGCGCGAGCAAGAAAACAGGAAAAGCAAAAGAAGAAAAAAAAAAAAAAAGACAGTTACATCAATGGCAACCTTTGCCGTCCCCATCGTCGACGTTAACAATTTTACAACCGCGCCTCTTGACACCTCCGACCGTTACGACCGTATCTGCGGAAAGAGCCGCAAATGCGTATAAGCCGCGCGAACCTGAGAAAAATTTCTCGCGAGGTCAAACCCTCACACAGTTAACGTCTAATCTAAATCACGGCCGTAGACAGTGGCGCGGTACTTTCTACTTTTTACTCCAATGAAGATAATCTCATACGGTACGACCGCTCGGCGGAATAAATCCGCGTAATCCTCGCGCTCCGACTCGGCGTCGGAAGTCTCTCCTCTAAAGATAATGGCTCATAATCCAGAAATCCTGGGAATCCGATACGCCTTCCCGGAGTATTATATCGGGACCTCATCGAGTGCTCACCTCCGTGACGTCCATGACCTTAATCGCGGCCAGCTGACCGGTCTTCGTGTGGCGACCCTGAAAAAAGGGAAAAAAAACACCTTACTTAGCGATCAGCTGATCCACCCACGTGACGCGAGACCACGTGACACATTTCAAAATTCCCACCCGCCGGAGGGACGGGGCAAAGAGGCGCCGCGTTAAGATGGAATATTTCCTCCTTAAAAGGGCCAACAGAAGACATCTCGACGACTCTAGACTCGGTAAGCGATTATCGCGTCGAGGCTCGTCGAGAAATCCCGCCGACGTCTGCGAGGAATCTCTCCTAAAGCGACACCCTCTCGGGTGGCGTTTCGAGAGAATTCCGCGAGCGCGGCGTTTTCCACGGTCCCCGGGACTCGGAGAGGGCCGAGCCCGTCGGAATCTCATTCTTCGCTATCTCGCCCCCTCATCGTAGCGAAAAGTTTAACCCGCAATCATCGCGGTAGGAATGCAAAGTGCCCTCCCGAGATGCGTCCCTCGTCCGGGCGTGCGCGCCAAGACGCGGGAAGGTCAATGTTAAGACGGCGACCGTGCACTTTCCAAAAAACGAGCGAGCCGAGTGCCAAGGCCTCCGACGGGGCCGGCCATTTATAAATCGCGGACGCGAGCGCCGCGCCTCCGGCCAATATCCCCCGGTTTTCCTTTAAATCGCGGCGCTTCCGGCCGTAGAGAGAGAGATAGAGGGACGTCAGCGCCACAGGTGGACTCATTTCCGCCGGCGAGTGTCGCGCCCAGAGACCGGGTCTCCGGGGCGGTGATTGGCTGCGATCGCCAATCAAAGGAGCCACGCGATTGGTCGAGAACACGAGACGAAAGAAAGAAAGATAGGAGCGAAGGGCCGCGAGGAGTCGGGCGTGGTGTACGCGGACGCGTGTGAGGGGAGGGTAAGGGGGGAACTATCGCTCTCCGGGGGGGGCGACGGAAAGGGGAACGGCCAGATAGAGCGAGGGAGAGAGAGGGATGTCCCGACTCGAGTTTTCCTTCCAGCTGCTCCTCCAGCCGAGGTTGGGTACCCGTTAAGATCGGTTCACACCATCCGACCCGGACCGTCACGTATCGGTTCCGGCGAAAATTTTTTCAAAGCGGGGTTTAATGAAATCTCTCATCCTGGGTTGCTGCCCGGCACGGACCGACACCTACCGGTTCCGACAGAAATTTTTAACGTGGGTTTTAACGAGATGTGATACTGACTCACTACCAGGCTCGGACCGAGAAAATGATATAACTCGCGTCTCAGCGCCACCGTGTGACACTATCATCCACGAGACGTATCGATTCCGATCGGATAGAATATTTTATAACGTAGGTTTTAATGGGATCGTTCATAACCATCCGACACGGACCGCCACGTACCGTCACCGGCACGCGTCGGCTAGGGTGAGTCGACCTTAAAGCGCTCGTAGCAACATACGGGCTCTCACGCGTAGCCCGCCGAGTGCGTTCCATTAAACGTGCGCCACTTCGGCTCGTATATATATTTCTTTCTTTTTTTCTCTCTCTCTCCCCATTGTGCGTGCGCCACGACCTCCGCGAGCGTGAGAATTCGAGATAAGCGGGAGATAAACGCGACACAATGCACGCGACGGATCGTCCCTAGAATCCGCGTATCGGGGAGGCGCGGGGAGAAAAAAGTGGAACCGCGTAAAGATTTCGGAACCTACTCGCCACACCTCGCCAGCCCCCTCCGAGCTTGCCCGATGCGTTTCCGAGAACGCATGCCGCGATTTTCTTCCAGCCTCTGAAATCGCAATTTTATCGTTATCAGCCCCCCCGGCAGATATCGGGACCGTTGTGTACTTTCCAGTCCACACCCGTAGAGTCCGCTATCCAACCTCGAAGAAACGCAACGAAACGCGAGGGACGAATGTGCACGTATCTCCGGCGCAGCCACCGCGAACGTGCGATCGGACGGGAAAAAAAAAAAGGAAGAAAGAAAGAAAAAAAAAAACGTAATCTCGTTCCCTCGCGCGGAAAATGTATGCATTAAAGTTTCTCCGTTATCGCAATCGCTCGATTCGAGACCGATCCAAGGGAAAAATTTCCGCCGGACATTTCCGTTAGCGCCAGTTTCCCCTGGACCGCGCTCCGGTTTTTGGCGTAGCGCGCGGCCGATTGGTCCGCCGCGTGCGGACTCGCATCCCCGCCGAGTGGCATGATCGAAGAAATCGGTCGACCGGTCGGCCGAAAGCGGCGCGCCTACTTTAAGAGGAAAATCGATCGATCGGCAGATTTCGGCGGTCAGGAAAAAATCTGAGAATTAAATCGCGGCACCTCCAATTTGGGAACGAGCAATATCGGGTTTGTTGTCGCAGCTCGCGGCGAACTATTCCGCGACATACCGGTCGCCGGATCGGTCTGGCCAACTTATCGGTCATAAGTATATCGGCTAAATCTAACGGAATAATCCCGGATGGACAAACTGACCCAGTAACCAACCGGAGACCAGAGCCGACCCATGTGTGACCGGCCTCGATTAATCGACTCGCCTAATTGGCGAGTTTCATGGGAATCTAGCAGGGACATTTGTACAGAAAAAAAAAAAAAGAACACTGGACGACCAAGGTGGCAAAAAAGAGAGGGCCCAACAACCCGGTCAACCGGCGTTTCTCGTTCACGGTTTTTTTTTATTTACTAGCTTTTTATTCCCATTAGATCCAGCCGATCTAAACAAATCGCGACGCGAACGGACGCCTGGTGCGAGGCCTCGCTCTACCGGAAACGGCCAATCGTCTGCATTCCGGAATGTAAAGAACGGAGAATCTGATGTCACTGCCTCGTAGAATCATCAGTTCCGAGAAGTCGCGTCAGGCCGGACAGGATCTCGCTTCCGAATAAAATATCTCTAACTATTGCTCTAATATGCAAGTGTTAAAGAAAGAAAGACACTTCTAACTTCAGGTCTAATCCCAAGATGCTTAAACTCGCCCTCCTGTCCGCGTCCATCGTACCTATTTCCATGTAATCAGAGATCGCACGGCATGTGATTTCGTTCCTTCCCCAACTATTCCCTGAACAAAAATCGCCAATCCTCGAAACCCAGTCTCCAGCATCGACTAAGTATCACGATTAGACCCGACGGCATTAAGTTTATCCCCTCGTCAGGAGTGGAAGCATTGGAGGGACCTGCACCGCTGCACTGTGTGCAGTTCGTCGACGTTCCCAGGCCCGAGTCACGTATGATTCATGCTCTGCCAAACCGGGAGCGTTATCCTAACTCGTCTGGACAGTGCGAGGGGCCTACCTTGTAGACCTGTCCATAGGTTCCATTTCCGACGACTTCGATGAGCTCGAAGATGCCAGCAGGGTCCTGTGGAAGCGAGAAAGAGAGAGTGAGCCATACGTTAATCCGTGGCACATCCGGCGTCCGCCCCCGCAGCCGGGCCCGGCCCCTCGGGGGCCTAACCTCACTTCCGAGTCCCGGGGCCGCGGCATGCGGTCGCCGGACGGCGCGCAGAGGGCGGGCGCGGGGCGTCGCGGCGCTTCTCCCGTGCGTACCTTCAGGGCGTTCAGGTCGATGTCGTCGAGGGAACAGTTGACGCTCGGTGCCAAGTTGTGCGCCATCTTGGATTGGCTGCGCTCCCCTCCGCGGCCCTCCGGGGCGGCCTAGGAAGGCAGGGCTCGGCGCGAGGAAGCGCGCACCAGGTCCGCCACGGCAGTGGACGAGCGAGGCTGCCCGGCGCGCCGAGCGCAAGGTCGAGGACGAGCCAAGGGATGCGCGCGAGGCGGCTCAGCGGCGGGGGGCGCGCACGGGGGGGGAGGACATGGCCGAGACGGCGCGACGTCGGGCGCGATCGCGACCCAGGACGCGAGAGAGACGGAGATAGGCACCCTCCTTTCTCCTCCTACGCCGCGGCGCGACTCACTCCTCCGCTACGCTGGCAGCGGGCGAACCGACGCGCCTTCATCCGGCCGAGCCGAGAGTCGGCTGTCTCTATCGGTCCGTCGCCATCGTGGACGTGCGTCGACGCCGCCGCCTCCCTCGCTCGCTCGCTCTCCGCCGTTACCGGGTCCGGTTCCCAAGGAACGCGATACTGCGACCGGGCGCGCAAGGACGGAGGTCGTTGCACCTTTTCGCCTCCCGATAGGCACCGATATCGCGGACGGTGACGACGGATGGACACTCACGGAACACGAGCGGATCGCAGACCGACTACCTCCACCTCCGACACACGACTGCCCGACGGCGCTGGGCTCCCATTGGCGCATGCCGCGGCGAACGACCCGCGAGCCTCCCGCCATCTTTGCGGATCTTCTGGGTACCGCATTGTCCAGGATCCTTTATCGGCGGAGATTCCTCGAGATTAAATGATAGAATTAAGGGAAAAGTAGGAAAAACTACTGGAATATCAAGGTGATATGAAAGGATCATTCTAGATGTATCAAAACATCAAAATATTTATAAAACTTTCCTGCAAACTGGGTGCACCAAATTATCTGAATCTTTAACACGTGATTATGAAGGCCCTATGAAACAACGCGATGTTCGTGAAATTTCATTTTTCGAAATAAAAAGTGTCTTTTTTTGGTTCTTGTCTTAATGAAGAGAATCGTGAATTTAGTACTTCGGATGATGGGGGTTATAAACGGTCGAAACTCGCATGGTAAAACTGTGAAACGAGGCATTCAAAATTTCAAGATGGCGACATTGATGTGACGGTTCATGCCTCGCCCGTCCGATGGCGTTGCGGAGCCTCAGATCTCAGATCTTATCCGAGTTTAATTTTTCAGGGTAACCATGAAATTTAAAAAAAGTATATGGCACCGAGATAATTACCAATCGTGGAAAGTCAGAAAAGTTTTCTCGAACAAAGGAGCCACCAATCCCTCAATTAGGAACTTTCCTTTCAGGTTTCTGTTCCCACGCGAGTCTGGCCCTTTAATTACCGGACACAATACACCGTGTATAAAGACTTACACGTGTTTATGTATACCTGCATATACATTACATATATAATATGTAAATACATCCCTCTGCCACTCGAGGAAAAATCTCACGGGTAAAGGATTACTAACGTTTTATTGAGATGACATTCGCTGCGAGATGCTGACAGTAAAACGTGACCAAAATCTTACTCCTTAATACTTAATAAATATATATATATATATATGTATATACGTCAGCGAACATTACTTCTGTTAATAGCTGTATATCAAAACATAATATTTACAGACACGGATATATAAGAGTCGAGAGAAAATTATTTGACAAAGTTCGATGATGCCATCACGTTGGGAAGTCTCCGGATGGGTGAGGGGGGAATCGTTATACATATATAGGGGGTAGGGAGGCGATCGCTCATGTTAATATTTAATATCTCGTTTAATAATTAATATAAGCGCGGTAGTTTTAAGTGCAGCGTAAGAACACGTAGGACCGTCCTCTTCGACGTTTCTTTAATACGGGTGTTCCAGCCTCCGGCATTTCCCATCATGTCCCGCGTGCGTTTTTTTCTCTTTTTCCCCGAGTTGCGTCGACGGCGCCTTTTAACATTTAATCTCTTTCGAAAAATATAAATATCAAGCACAAGCAGTCCCCCTTTTATAGCTCTCTTATTATCTCTACGGCTCTCGGTATCGCCTCCTCGTCGCCGCAGTCTCGATTCCGTATATCTCGGTACACTTAACATTAATCGCTATAACAGTAAGTGTTGTTTTCCTTTATCGACCCCGCCGGTAAAGAGTCGGCATTTTTCGCTCTCTACTTCGACCCACTCGACGGCCCTTTCCTCGCGCTTGATATTGTCATTTTACGGACTTTTCTCTCGAGGCCGAAGCTAGCGAGATTAACGATTTGCCTTTTCTTAGAATCCCCGAGCTGGATTTAACAATCTTTACACCCTTGAAATGGCCAAATCACTTTTGACAAGAAAATCATAATCGTCGTACGTTATGAGATAGGTACCAAGATTATAATCCTAGAAGAGAGCTTTTCATCATACACTGGGCATGGCACATTGTATAATATGAATTCCTTTTTTTCTTCTCTTCTTCCAGTGGAAAATAAATGTCCCTCGTCTACCTACGTATTTGTTATTCCGCGGCACAAGGATTTCACGGACGGGATCCCGATTTACAAAAACTTCCTACGCGCTTCGTACAATTGTCTTTTTCTTATTTTCTTCTCTTCCTATTTGACTGTTCTTGGATAAAAGAAAATGTCCTCGGACCTCGCTCTCGACACTTCCCGAAGTACTTCCCTTTGGCCGTGTTTTACTCTTTCAGGATCGGCTATTAATTTATGGCACGATTTATGTTTAGCTTATTTCACGTTATGCAGCGATATATTTCCTACACGCACACAGGTCTCCGCTCGCCCAATAAATCAAACCTGTTTAATTCTCTAAATGTTCCAAAACGCATAAATACATAATTAGAACGAACCAAAAAAAAAAAGAAAATTGTGGAAATTACAACCTTTTCCCTTGTCTATTCTTTTCATTTAAGAGAGAGAGAGAGTCACAATAACAGGCTCCCTTCTATTCGGCGATCAATTCCCAAAATGAACACTAATCACCTTCAATTCCTTATAACAACGTACCAGCCGCTAATTAGAGGAAACAAAAAACAATGCCTTAAGTCGTCATTCGTCAAAATCTCGCGCTTTTGGAAAGTCACTCGTAATACTATGCAGTCAGGTATTCGATGAAACGTGTGGAAATAGAGCGTATTATTCCGTTGAAAAGACGACCCCCTGCGAAGAAGAGGACGATCGACCTCATTTTTAAAAAATGCCCAAAAACGCGGAAAATCGATTCCGCGGTTCGCGCATGATTTTCCGACTTCGCCCACTTTTTAGGAATTTTCAATGTCCGTTTCTTCCGGGGTTAGTCCACGATAAAATGGAATTGCTCGGCATGCTGAATTAATTGAAATTATTAACGCGAGATTTCGAGTAGAATTTTCGGGACTTTCCTTATCGCTCTAATATCCGGTTAAGCGTCGGGTTTTCGCATGTAAAATCAATCGGCGCGTTTCCTAAATTTCTTTTTGTTTTTGATAAATATATGTTTTTTTTTTAACGAGTCGCTAAGTCAGGCTTGCACGGTACCTATTAGGGATTGGGTACATCTAAATTGCCGAGGGAGGTGGCCGATATAAAAAAGGGGTTTCTGCCCTTGAGTGGCCATAAGGCTGATTTGGTACTTCGTCTCTTTGCTAGCCGCAGTCAACTTATTTACAAAACTACCGTCCCCTGTGACATCCATCGTGTCGCGGAACGAATTAATTACGAGAAGATGCAGGGCGATCGAGATACCGACACGGCTCCTTCGAAACATAACGCGGACGACGAAAGCCATCGGATCTCAATAAGAAAGCCAACGAGCTTCAGCGCTTACGGAAGGACGCGACTTCGATTCGGGAATTAGCCGAGATTTGTGCTAAATCGACGCCTCGCCGTTGACAAAGTCATGTCCAAGCCTAACCGACTAACTTAAGCCTGCCGAAGACGCGGGGTGACTTTTGCGCGTTCACTTGAAGTCTTAAACATTTTTCAACGCCTCGAAGAGAATGGAAAAAACGAAAAAAAAAAAAGAAAAATGGGGGGAAGGAAGGAAACGAAAAAGGAAACGCGGAAACGTCGGCTTCGCGACAGGCGTATATATAGGGCTTTGCAACGCAGCGGTTTGCACGACCACGAGACACGTCGAGAATTCACCACGAGGGTACTCGCTATTCACAACGAGTATGATCCATGTGCAGCAGTATATACCGATGTACCGATTCGTACTCTCTCTTCTCCGTTCCGTTTTCCCCCTTCCAAACAAGAAGGAAACCAATCGACGAAGCAATCGGTGCTGACATGGCGTCCCTTTCGGATCGCTTCCTCCATCGAACGCCCCTCCTCGCAGAAGCTGAATTAAAAGATCGAACTGACTAAATCGACGGAGCTCGAGGATCCCCGTATCTCGGGGGCCTCGTTTATGAATGCCCTGAAGGAATTCCGACCTCGACGGCGAGTCAGCACCGATTCGTCTCGAGTGTCTTCGTTAAAATTGACTAAGAACGCAACTTTCGCTGTTTAATATGCATCGCGGGCCTGTATTAAAATAGTAACTATGAACAACAGAGGGCGTAGCAGCGTAACTTTAGGTGAGACACTTGTGTAAAACTATAGTCAAGACTATAGTAAAACTATATGACGAGGGCCATGTCCTTCTTGTTTGGTAGGTTCACCTTTTTCCCTTGCCAGAGGCTGTTGTGTATCGTAAAGGCATCGATGGTTACAGTCAGATGCTTCGTGTGGACTTGCGAAAAGCATTTACCTCCGGAGTTGTATCTGAAACAGGGATACATGGTTAGGTCTCGAGTGTAAAATGAAACAACGAATTAGGCATAATAAAATAATATCGTCTCCGTGCCGCGGATTTTGGGGAATTACTTGAAAAATTTGTCGAACATCCTGTCGTTGACTTGTTTCGGTCCCGTCCCATAAAGCTTGGAGACCTCCTCCCTGTCCGGGCAGTACGAGTAGAGGGCGCGAAACTGGCACCCCGAATCCCGGAAAAGTATGAGAAAGTGTTTGCTCTCCGACTTGGCGATCTCCTCCAGGACTCTCCTCTTGGCCTCCTTGTTCACGGTGCCGGGGAACACGCAATACTCCACGGCGTTCAGCATGATGCCTCGGTTCGATTTCGTTGTGGGCTGTTTGTACAGTCGCGGGCCTAAAAACCGATTTCCACGTAAATACATCTCTATGCAACAATGTAATACGAAGATACTTTAAGGCGACATGAAAATGGCATCCGATCTGAAATTCGATTTAAGGGATGAAATTTCCCTTTCCTAAAATTTCGTCTCAGACGTTTCTAAAATTTATTATAAAAAAATTATAGTGTCACTCGTGCCAGGATTTTTATAAGGGCCTCTACGTTTGTATGGTAAAATTTCAGACGAAAAGTTTCATTGTCACAATTTAAGGTGGCATGATAGTGCCACCCTAATCTCATTTGTGATGTTTAAGGGCATTACCATTGTAGTCCATCATCGAACTAGGAGTGCTGCTGATGTCGCTGCTTCCATCGTCGAAGACTCTCCTCTTGGTCATGAGTCCTGGAGGAAGAGAACCGGGTCCTGAGGGCGATGGAAGGTGTCTCATGCTGCCCATCCCAGGACTGGGAGCTCTTCTGGGTGGAGTCGCCCTCCCCAAGCCGCTGTCCGTATCTGCATGGCGAGAAAATTCCCAAAAATCGAGTTAGCACGCTCTCAAATAAATCGCGAGCCAAGAGTATTAAAAAGAGTCTATTAACGTATTAAGAACTTCGGGATTATTAGGAATGTTAAAAGAGATATTTAATATCGCAGGTTCAGGTCGGCGAATGATAAAGCCAGGCTACGCTCGGACGACCGTTTTCCCCGATTCACAAGGACAAGGGTGATGCGGTTCTCATTGTTATTCACAGACTCCCGCCTCCGAAGGAACGATCAATTGTTATTAACGATCGGTGTTAGTCGGTGCGTCGGGAAATTGACTCATACCACTGCGAGAGACTCACCAAATGACATAAAAATACCGGAACTTTGTTCGCAACCGTAGCTACAATTTTTCTTTTTTTCCTTTCCATTCGCCCTCGCCAACTTCTGGCGCGTTGAATAATAAAACGGATGGAAAATCCAACCGCTGGCTTCGGAATTGTTAAAACTAGGTAGCAAACTTTTACAACTCTCGTCGGGAGGAAAGCATGAAATCTGGGGTAACAACGTCACTCGTGGAGTTCCTGTTAACGAGGTTTACTTCGTTATCGACGAGGGTCTAAATAAAGTCGCGCAACAAATTCGCGATTGGACGAAATATATCAACCATACGATGACTATATTTATTTAACCCAGATTAGATTAATTTCAAGAACGGGACATCAACGAATTTGTTGCGGCTAGCGGAGTATTAAAACCTGAAATGAAAAAACATAGAGACAACGGAAAATGAGTCACGTAAATACCGGAAACGAAAAGGCAAACAATGGAGGGAGATCGTGGTGAGTCGGGAGAGGATGCGGTTAATCAAGAACCGGATGCCACCGCTTTTTTTTTGTTTTTTGACGGGGGATCTGAAAAAACGCCGAGATCATGTACCAGGACACCCACAACCAGTGCTATAAATACGATATGGGTAAGCCTCGAGAGAAGGAGGAAGAGAGCCCAAATGAAAAGCCCTAACGAGGTAAAAGAGGCCAAACTCCCAGCTTACACCATTAACGGGAAATCGGTCAACCACCTGGACGGGAATGGCACGCTCCACGGTGCCGCTGCGATGCGCTCGCTAAGAGGCATCAAGATGCATTGAGAGATGCGCCAAGCGAAGTGGCCCACGTGGCCTCGTGCCTTCCCCCACTCCGCGCCGTCGACCAATCACAGCGCGCGCTGGCGCCGGAGAGGGGAGAAAGCGAAAGAGTGGGGGAAGCCATTCGATTCGCGGGAGTCACTTCGCTGAACGGTGCTTCGTTAGAGAGATGGGATTTGTGCCTAAAGGTGTACCCGCACGTGCTCTTGCCACCCGTGCTCCTGTCACCGACATGCGACTACGTGTGTACACTGGCCGGACCGGTACTCGTGTAAAATTACGCAAAGTGGCACCTCTTTTCCCCCGAAAACTCGTTTAACCCCTTACCGACGAACCATTTAATTTAGCCACTCGTACCGGACGCCGTAATTTTCGAAACTCGGTCCTCCCTTATGAAAGTCGACGTTTGGGTAATTTTACACGATTTTCAAGATCGGTGTACGCTATGGCCTATGCAGGGCAATCGGGAACGTGTATGCGCACCGTGTGCACCAGAGTTGGCACGAGATCGCTGATTCCCATTACTTTTCCATTTTTTTTTTCACCCCCTTTCGGTTTCAACGAGACTGAGAAAAAAAAAAAGAGCGAAAGAGATATGCAAAATGATATATCGTGGATTAATTATTACCGTCGAAGCCCCATTTTTCACGATCCCTTTTATTTAATTAAAGCGATCTACTCGAAGCGTCTCAGTTAGATTGTCAAGAGTCAACCTCTAAATAGTAACCATCTTCAACTACGCGTGCACTACTCTAGGGTCTCGCATATGCGCCTGAGTAATTTCCAAAAATCTTTTATTACTCCGGTCAATTTTATAAATCATCGTGTTCCTAATTGATGTCACTTGAAATCATTAATGACATTATCTAGTATTCTATTTTCGAGTCTGCCAACTTTGGTACGCACGGTGGCTGCGAATTAATTGCAGGGTGTAATTGCACAGTGTATGCACGGGACGCGGCAATAATAGTGTACACGTTATTGCGCGAAGTAGAATTAAAAAAAAATATATATATAACTGGGGGATAAACGTATTCCATCACTTGCTTCTTACCACACAAATTCATCAAGGAATTAGACTTTCTCCCCTTAAAGTTTTGGTAAGTCGGGTATTTAGGCCTGCCTCTAACCTGTTGCTGAGGCTCCTGCGCATCTGCAATAATGCAACGGTTGCGTTGTTACACTTTCGCAGACCATACTTCAACGGGCAATTAATTACAGGAGATCGATTTCTCGTTTTGCGTACGTTTCACAATTTTCTCCTCTCCCCGGGTCCGCGATTACTTTTTGGCAATTCCTTAGACGCCTTTCTAACTACATTGTCTACGTACGCAGGTCAAGATCCAACGCAATTAGCCAGTGCAAAATCTCGGGGGACAACGTTGCATGTCAATCGAAGGTCTACTGCATTCTGTGCCAGGGCTCTAACGCTAAAAACCTGACATATCGCCGGCATCTAGTAACAATGTAATTATTTCGGGACTACGAAATGGGATTACCCTGTACAGAGGCAATAACACCGAGAAGAAAAGAAGATCGCCGAGCCAAAGAAATATTTTCTCAGTTCGAGGGATAATCATTTGACTCGATGAAACTCAATTAAAATCGTCATAATTCCGAGGAAACGTTGAATCCAATTTATTCGACTTAATCCGAGTGAAATAATTATTCTCTGAATTGACAAAATGTTTGTCCGGTTCAATGACGGTCTGTTTTTTTTTTTTTATTTTTCTTCTCAGGGTAGATTCACTTTGTCGAACATAAATTCTTAACTTTTAAGGCCGGCTTCGTTACAGGAGGGGAGCCTTGCTGGTCAATACGGACCAGGAAATGAAGAAACCGTGGTTTCCGGAAATATCGCGGAAGAATCGGGTCCAACTACCTTCTAGACTCTAGGAACTCTACCTCGAGGTGGCAGGAAGGACTTCCATGCAGGACGACGTAGCATCCTCGGTACCTCCTCGCTATCGCTCTAAAAATTCCTCGTCTATCATCGAATCTTAAATGGGAAAAGGAGCAGCCAGGTAACCGCATCCTCGGCCGTCCAAAGCTCGCGTGGCCGATTTTACTCGATTTCCACAGCTTGCAAGTACAAAGTCTAGCCCTAACGGGTATCGCAGAAGCTCGGAGAATAATTTCGCAAGTACTCGGGGTCACGATCGAGCGATTGGTAGGGAAAATTCGAGGAGCCTTCCCGCGGCTCGTCGAGATCAAGAGGGCTGCTCGAGGCGCCTAATCCTGCGAGCCTACCAGACAATCGAGCGGCAAAACGACCAGGAGAATAATTAGCAACTATTCTTGATGAACATTCGTAAACTCACCTCTGGACGTCTTGTACGAGCCTCGTCTTCCCAGCTGATTGACGCTCCTGCAAGGCGAGGATCCTCGACCGTCGTCGGGAGAATCTACGGAAGATACTATAAAATAGGGCAGTGCCGTTACAACCAGTTGATTCCTTCCAGGACTGGGACTAAATCTCTAAAGGACGAGTCTAGTCAAAATTAACACGGATCGTCTACTCTAGCAATTTAATATTAAGTACACCGGAGGTCATGCTGAGAGGGACTCCAAGAACAAATCAATACATAAAATGCGAGGTCCTCAAGGTTCCCGAAAACAATACATTTTCCTCTTCGAAATCAAAATGTTCACTCTGCCGACCAAAAGTCAGGAACCTCGAGTCGTCTTTACTCTTACAAGATATTTCAATGAAAAATGAAGGATACTGCGTGTTCCTCCTTAAGGTGCGGTTTCTTTTATGAAACGTTGAAGGTGATGCATCCGACGAAACTTTTTTCCTTGTCATCAATAGTTAAAATGTCTATCTTTTTTATTTTTAATTTAAATTTCATGAGTATCAGGACCTTCCTTTCACGTTGTAAAATTTAGAACGGTTAAACACACCCGGTTCAGAGAAAAGTTTCATAAACGAGACCTTTGGGGGGGACTTTTACGTCCCCTTGAATATTATTTCTCTACTACACGCAGGATGCTTCGTGTCCAGCTAATGCCACCGAGTGGCGTAATGCAGAATCATAAGGCAAGCCGAATATGCGTGGCAGGGTGTCGACAGATCGAGTGAAGTTGGAAAGAGTGTGTGCGGTGCGTACCCCTGAGGCTGCCGCCCCGATAGAGTGGGCCGGATCGGCGGTCTTCGAGGTGTGCGGCAGTGAGACTGTCCTGCGACCCTCTGTAGTAGTCTCGCCTCATCGTCGGGGAGGTCAGCGACGCTACAGGAAGTGTGTTAGTGCAAGACGAAGGCCCGACATGTTCTCTAAGCTATTCTAGTTCGCCGGCAACTATGCATACTCATCCCGAAAAAAATTCATTTCATACACAGTTAAACCAAGAAACAATAAAAAATAAAGAACGACCAGCAAGAACTAGAACCGTTGAGAAGACCTCTGGGCCTGTGGACACGTGGCGGGGTAAAAAAAAAAAAAGGTAGAACTCCCAAAGAGAAGCTCTTTTTACTGCAACAAAAGTAACCTGGTTGGTCAAAACGAAAATCCAATTACAAACTCCGCCATGCAGGGGGCAAAAATGCGGTTACAACATTGACTGCTACCTATCCAAGTATTACAGCGTTGGTACACCTGTTACAACGAGGACCTGAGAAATTAGATACCGAGCTCAAAGGGGACCCCGTAATTTTTCCCGCTGACGATACCAATGATTCATTCGTAGGTCCATATCGGCGAGCTCGAGCTAGTCGGTGTAAATAATCTCTCAGATATAGCTTCACGTACCGGTACACCGTGCGTCTACGACGAACGTGGAGACGGAGACGTCGGCTCCGATGCACTTACCTGTACTGAGATTGGAGGAAGAGCCTTTCTTCCCCCGACTAGGTGTGAGAGCTCCTGAGTCGAGCTCGGCCCCGGCATCCACGTGGATAGTCTTCGGCCGTGGACGACTAGGTGCGGTTTTGTTCCGTAACTTCGTGGGCTTGATGGCGTTGAGGAGCTCCTTGTCGATGACTTTCCCCTAAGAGTGGAAGGGTCGATTCTCAGTAGCACCCTTTACCTCCCTTCCTGTCTGGCGCGACAAAAAGAGAGCACCTCTCGATGGAAGCACCTCTCTTACCTCCCTCTCCGCCTCCTCTATGGCCTTCTTGAGTTTATGCTGCTCGAGGATGGTCGCTCTCCTTTGCCGGTCCTCCTCCTTCTTCCTCATCCTCTCCTCTTCCTTCAGCTTCTCTTGCTCCCGGCGAGCCTGGGCCTCGGCTTCCTTTCTCTCCTTCAACTCCTCCTGCTGCTGTCTTCGTTGCAGCGACAGGAGCATTATCCTTTCCTTCTTGCGCTCCATCTCATCCAGGGAGTTCTGAAATCGTTTATTAAATTTGTTTCATTCATGATGGGGAGTTAGAAAAAAGATACGAGGAGTTATCACTCACGGGGTCAGGATTGGCCAGCTGATTGCCGATGACGAGACCCACCCCGCTGGCTTGTCTCCCTTCGACACTGCCGTCTCGCTGTCGATCTCTTTGTCTCTCCCTTTCGATCTGCCTCTGCAGCTCTCTGTCCCTCATCTCCTGTCTTTGCTGCTCTCGCTCTTCGGCCTGTCTCTGTCTCTCCCTTTCTAGGTCCCTTTGAGCCTCCAGGTGTCTCTGTCGCTCGACGGTGTTCGCGGGGGGCGACTCGGGACGCACCGAGAAGTCTTCCTGCTCGATGAAGGAAGACACGCTCCTTTCCTGCGGATTGATGCCAATTTATTATATTTATTATATCTATATCATCTATTATATCTATTATATTTATTATGTCTATTCATTCCATCGGACCGAACTCAGGACTCGCGAGGTGGAAGTCTCACCTTCTTCGGGGATGCCCTTTTTACCCGTAGAGTGGGCTTCGGTTTTTTAGGCGCGTCGTTGTCGAAAGATATGTAAAACCCTTTCTCTCCAGCATCACTGGGGTCCAAGGGTGTGACTTCCGGCGTGGCCGAGGGCGATGGCGTCGCTTCTCGCAACGATGGATGCGGTTGAAACGAATTCCTCGATATCGAGGGCCTCGTCGGTGATGGTATTCTATAGGTTCGACTCCCGGAGGTAATGTGCAGGCCCCGGATCCCCTGTGCGACCTCGTCGTCGTTGCCTGGAAAGGAAACGAATTAATCGTCACCTGTGAGTTTCTCAAACAATTATTCTCTACGGTTAGTCTAAGGAATGATTTTCTTTTTTCTTCTATTTTCAGCGTGAAGATCGGAGGTGTTCACCGATAAAGGAGATGTTTTGCGGCTCCATGTCATCGACGGGAGGTGCTGGGACTGGCGTGTGCAAAGTAGTGCTCTGACGTTTCTCAGTGGGACTCTCACATGTTACTGGGATGTGGTGCACCGTCGGCCTCTTCGGCTCCGGGCTTTCGCTCATCAGCTGACTTATCCGATGAACCTGAAAGAGAGTGGAAAACGATCCGAGTTATTTCGAGAGCCGTTCCTAAAAAAGGTAGAAAGAAAAGAGGTCCTAGGCGAGGCAGAAAACGTGGAGTACGTCTCTCCCCTGAGATTTCGCTCGTTAACGCGGTTGACGTTGTCAAAAGGCGTATTTTCCTTCCACTTTCCCACTCTTCCACTCTATTCACATCGGGTCACTTTTACCAGGGTGGAGAGCTTGACTTTGGCCTGGTGATACATGACGATGGGTATTGGATAATTTGACTGTCAGTTGTATCGGGTAATCCGGTACTGAGGTATCGACAATCAGACCGAAACCAACCTCGCTGTACTCGAGCGCTCTCGTGGTGGTGGACGAGCAAAAGAGAAACATCTTATTTAAATATTGAAAAATGTAAAAGCGTCCGATGGGGATCTAGAACCGGCCAGGAGCCCGACCGTGGGTGTCCAGGTGTCGGGACGTTACTGCAGGAGGTCTCTGCCATGTTGGGTGAGGACTCTCTATAATTGACCGTTGCATCACCAACTGGTTTAATATACATAATGACACGCATGAGTGTGTAGCGTGCGTAAGACCGCGCCGAAGGTGTATCCCACCTACGTACGCATGACCGACTAAATGTACACCGCCTTCGTTCCGCTCGATAATTTTTCGCTCGTCTCGCGTGTATTTTTAATCCAAGCTCCATTACTTGCCCGATCCCCATCTGAATTGGTCGATAAGGATCGGCCATTACTTCGGCGATTTTCTGCCCCCTCTTGGTCCTTTGAAAAAAAAAAAAAAAAATGGAAATTCCTCGACAATCGCTGTACTCACGGCGTTACGATGCTGAGGACTAGCAGACGAGGGAGGCGTTTGACTGAAGATGGTCGAGGATGACGGATAGGTGGAGGTTGGATGGACCATTTGATTGTTGCAGAGGCTGTGGTCCCCGCCGTTGAGGTACCTCTGCTCCTGGGACGTGTCGTGCAGGATGAAACCCTTTTGTTGCGGAGCTGGTCCACCCCAGCTCCTTGTCTCTTGATAAAGACGCGGGTCCTGCTGGTAAACCGCTGAGAAAGGAAATTCCAGGATGAGTTAATCCACATTTCCCAGATCCAGGGAATGTTTTCCAGGTAAATGGTAAACGTACCGGTGGGCTGGGAAGTGAATCTGGAATCCTGGGACTGTTGGTACCCAACGGCTGCCATTTCGTTGGCCAAGCTTTGCGGAGGTGCCGGCTGGGCCCAGGTCCTTCTCTGCAGCTGAGGCTGGTCGTGCAGGTAGAACTGCGACTGCTGGGAGTCCTGCTGTATCCTGGGCGTCAGGGGATTCATCGGCGACATGCCAAACCCCTGGAAAAGTCGGGAAAAATTACCTTTCTAAGGGACATTGTTCCTCAAAAATGATATTCAGATCGGACACCCCGCGCACCTGCATGTGCTGCTGACTGAGGCTTTGCAGCTGCTGCAACTGCTGCTGCATCTGCTGCTGGTGCTGGGTCATCAGGTGCTGCTGCTGGATCTGATTCTGCTGACTGGCCAGGCGCTGGATGTCGGCTTGAATCTCGCTGAGACTAGTATTCATTCTGCGTGAGAAAAACCTGCTCTCAGAATCTGTGTTTCTTAAAGACTGCGATTTTTTTATTATATGCGTTGGACGAAGAGGGAGACTTAACTCAATTTTTCTACGTTTCGATGTTCTCATTTCTTAATTTATTCTCTGATAAGGACGACCCCTTGACGAATACTCACTGCGATATTGACTGGTGGTACTGGTCGAGGTCCATGTTCTCGATGTCCGGGGTGCGTCGAGTCTCGATGAAGGGTGCACTGCCGTCTTGTTCCAGCCACTTGTGCTCGACGTCCCGAACATCCTCGCTTATTTCCTGGACATCACGACACCGTTATTAAAATTTCGAGGCAATGCCGGGAGTAGGGAAAATTCTAAACGACGAGTTTTCGAGCGCTTGTTCACCGGTGGGATGTTTTTAATTTCTCTCAAGGTCTTCCCATTGGACTAATCGTCGCAAAAGAGTTAACCAGGTGGCTCTCCTCGTCTTCTAGGAGAACGAGCTCCCGGGGATTGTTCAAGAGCATACTCCCAGTTTCCTCGGTTTGCGTGTCGATGCTGCGATTCGAGGGCGTGACTCGGAAGAAGAGATCGGCCACCAAGGTCTTGACGAGGTTTTCATCCGAGTGAACGGGGTCGGTCTTCTCGTCGAACACCTTGAAGTACACCCCGGAAGTGCGACTGAAATTCGCCTCTCCTGAGGAACCACCTCCCTCTTCCTCGAGAGCTGACTTTTCGGGGGGAAATAAATCATTGCCGAGCTCGCCGAGACTCCTTATTTTCCTGGCATCTTCGATTCCCCTGCGAGATGCACAATTAATTTCACTCGACGCAGCCAGTGCTCTGCATGTTAAATATCCCGAACAACAATTGAAGTGACTTTTCCTGGAGCTCTCGAATCTCTCGACACTCTTAGATCCTCCTCGCCGAGCTCGACGGTCGTCGGACGTTGAATTTTTCGGCGGAATTTTCTCCCTCGTCCTTTTCAAATTCCCCGGCACCGAGAGGTCGCTCAGAAATTGGCTTTGTCTTGTCCTGTCAATTGTTCTCGAAGGATCGACGGATTTGACGTGACTCGTCGGCTTATAAGTCGTCAGAGCCTTCGCTCGATTATTCCTGCGACGACCTCCGAGCTCGTCGGGCAAAATCAAGGAGAGGAGAAACAAAATGTTGTCGACGGCGCGACTGAACATCTCCTGGTGTACAGGCTGGGAATTTCGAGAGGAAGAGCCGAAATAAATTTCGCGTTTGACGGCCTCGAGAAAGAGACGGTCAATTGTTTTTCGAAAATAGCCTCTTTCAGCTATTTCCGACGAGGGGAAAATAAAATCCCCTTAGAGACTCTGATTAAAAATCCAATTAATAAAGGAGCATTAAAAAGACGTACCCGTTGGTGAACAAGCGCGCGCAAATTCGAAGGGAAAGCTCGAATCGCTCGACGATCGCTCGAAAACGCGACTGGACGATTCCGTGGTATCTCAAAAGTTCGGAGATGGCACTTCTGGGTCCACACTTGTGTTTGATCAATATCTGATATCACATAACCGGGAGCTAATATATGTCGCCGACTCCCTAAATCTCGGTGTACCTGTAGTGTCCAATTTTCGATTCCCCTACAAACAGGTCACGCGATATTAATTTCCCACAATTTTATATTGGGAACTGTGCGCATGAAATTACTCTAAAAAAAAAAAAAAAAAGAAAAGAAAATCAGAAATATTAATTCGTCCCTTAATTACGCATCTGGATTAGTGTGGTACGGACAAAGACGAGAGAAATGAACGTGAAGTGCCAGGAAAGACAGCTGTCACCAAAGAGAAGAGTAAACCAAAACGAAAACCAAAAAAATCTCGGGTTCACGGTTATCACACAGTACAAGAGTTGGCATGCTCACAAACTTAACGTACACGTGAAATAATGATTAGATTGAACACACCTAATTAATCGTGGCGACCTGAGGAACACATGAACCTGAGCTCGCTGGACGTCAGGTCCGTTTTTGAAACTCGAATTCCAATTAGAACGATCTCGGCGAAGCTTTTTGACTACAGCAACCTACTGGTGATCGTAACGACAGTGGCTCTAATTTAGCAAAGGCGTGCAATGTTTCAATTTCGGGGCAAACTCGGGCGCCAGGGAAGCATTCGAGTCCTAGGAGCGTGAATCACTAGAAGGAACATTTTTTTTACGAATTGCGCCCAGCCGAGTGGGTGAAGTGACTCCTGGGAACGGCTGGCTTCCCCCACTTCGCGGCATTTCCGGCTCCCCTATTGGTCGGCGGCGGAGCGAGGAGTGGGGGAAGTCAGCCGACCCCGGGAAGCTCCCTTTAATGATAAGCGACTCCTTGGACCTGCGCCCTGCAAATAAAAACGTGATAAAAAATATAAATAAGCAGGGATCCGTCCAGCAGTCGAAGCCACGCGCACACGGACACGGTTTAAAACGGGGTGCGTAATTACATACCGCGAATACCCATGTATATCGTACCTTGAGAGAGAAGGGACGCTGAGGTTTGTCTTGAGGGGGTTGTCGGGGTTTGTCGGGGGATGTCTCGGCTATGGTGGTCGGGGTATCACCGGTGGGCCCGGGGTTTATGGGGTTGGGATCCACCGGACTGTCGCCCCCCGACGTGGACGAAGAGGGAGACTTAACCTTACCCTGCAACCAGCCCAACCAGCGTGCCTTTGTTAGGTTAGGTGGCCCACACCGACTCGCCTCTTTTTCTCACCCTCTCTTTCTCTTTATCTCCCGACTGGTCGAGGGTCTCGCGAGGTGCAGACAGCGCAAGCTCGCCTCCAGCTTAACCGAGAACCAGGCTCTTTACCTTGCAAGCTCGTCAAGCCGACTCGGAAGGTTACCGACATTGGTCTATTTACAGAGTACCGAGAAAGTTAACGTCGAGTCCACCCGAAGGGAGTTGCCCTTCGAGCGAATTCTCCTTCCCAAAAAATCAGTCAACACGAGTCCCAGCCACCATACGTACGTACTAAGCTTGCGGTCGGTTATTCACAACGAAGACTTCGAGTACTCAATGAGAAACTCTAACTTAATCGAGGAACAGCAGCGGAAGTAACATGCATCTACCACCGACAGTGGGCAAGAGGATGGAATTAGAATTAATTAATGATTAATTCTAACCAATCGTCGTCGTAATTCTACAAATGGTCGCGTGGTCTACTGCTCGTAGCAAGATTCGTTCAGCCAAGAGTTAGCTAAACCAAAAAAAAAAAAAATAAAAATAAAAGGAACGTACAAAACCTCGTGTCAAAATACCGCAAGACTGTATCTCCTTCTCCCCGTTCACAGCGCAATGTGCAGTCGCGGATAGCAGACAGAATCAACGTTAAAAGACAACTCCAAGCTGCACTACTCACCTGGGCCGGTATTTTAGTGGAATCTGTACCTATCGCCCCTTTCGTTACATAGTGAACCAACGTAACCCATGCATTAGAACGAAAGAATAACGATGTATAGCCATAATATAGAGATTATGAGAATAACGACGAGGCATCCGGCTCGTCCAGGGAGTCGAGCGCCGAGTGGAAGACCCGTTCTTGCGGAGTGACCTCCGCCAGGACGCGCGAAATTTCTGTACATGGATACAACGTCGATTAACGCGATTTGGCTTTGGATTCCAGGTTGCTACCTTCGTGACCGCCTGCAGGAACGCCGCTTTGCCGACCTTTTGCCTCTGCTTCGACATCACGACCTCCATTCGCCGCTTTTCGTTCTCTATGTGGCGGCGCTTCTCTTCCAGCTTCAGTCGGATGTTGTTCAATTGAGACGCCATCACGGTGTTTCCGCCGTTCTCGTCTGAAAATTGGACACGTATCAATAAAGTGTCTTAAGCTTCAACTAATCTTGAATTATTAAGGATTCACCGGCAGGGTGATGTTCCATTTGCTGAGTCTGCTGGTTACTCTGTTGCTGCCAGGTCGTTGTGTTGGGCAGGGCGGCGAAGGTCGTCTTCTTCTCGGCACATCCGTTCCCGTTGCTTTGTCCCTGCCTCCTGGTGGCCAGGTTCGTCCTGGCCAGGTCTTCTCTCTCCTGCTCCGTGTACGTGAAACTGATGCCCTTCTCCGAGGCCATTCTTCCCAGATTCGCGAAGCTCGCCATCTTGGTCACCTCGCCGTCCGTGGCGTCGTTCTCGCCGGAATGTTGCCCGCTCTTCGGGGCCGCGTTGTTCAGGCTCGAGTTCGAGGCTTGCCTTCGCAACCTGGGGGCCTCCTCGTTGTTGCACCCGTTGTCGCTCAGGATCAGCTGCACCCCGCTACCGTACACGTCCTGGACACTCGACCTCACTGGAAGGGCCGGCTCGGCCGCGCTGCGTTTCCCGATGTGCGCACCCACCTCCTTGTCAGGATTCCTCCCGAAATTATGCAGATTGTCCTGAAAAAGATTTGATATATTCAATGAATTCTGAAAATCATTGAAATCTGGTGCTTAACAAATAAAAAGTCATGCGGATTTTTCTGAGAAAGAAAATAGGATAAATTCCAGGGTTTGAGAAAACTAAAGAAATCCGTGGTTTTAAAAATCAGAGATCCCTCCCGAAGTTGTGCAGATTCTCCTGGGGAAAAAAAAAAAATCAGGATCAATACCACTTGCGAAAATTCAAGGGATCCGTGGTTTAAAAATTCCAGGATCCCTCCCGAAATGATGCAGATGTTTCTGGGGAAGAAAAATTAGAAAGGATCCAAATGTGGTAGAAAGTCTGAGAGATCTGTATGGAAAGGGATCAGTCATTTATTCAGAGACCCTTTCAATTTATTAACGTCACCTGGGATCCCCCGAAATTCTCGATGGTCAGCTGGGAGTCGTCGGTGACGCTGTTCCTCCTGGACCGCCGCCCCGCGTAGGAACTGCGTCTCTGGTCCTCCCAGTTGCTGGGCCGGCCGGCAGCCTCCGCCCGGGCGGCGGATCTCTCGTCGGCCACTGAGCTCAAGGTGGGAATGCCCTTTCCTCGATGGACCACAAAGCTCTCATCGCTGGTCCCTCTCCTGTATAACCAGACATCACCGTCATCCTCGTGAACGCTCCTCTAGGAAACTCGCGTCTCGTACCTGTCGTCGAAGGAATGACTCTCCGCCGTCTGCTGCAGCGACTGCGACTTTTTCACGATGGTGCTCGTTGCGGGTTTCACGACTAAAAAGCAATTTCAGACACGTTTTATTACGTCCGCTTTTCGAGCGTTACATCAAGACTAATCGCACTCTACACTCGGCCATGACGTTTAGTGAACGGGGGAAAAGAATGATCGTGGAGAAAAGTTATCTCGGTGATGGTGAACTCTATCGAGTTTGTCACACCCTGGCACACATCAGAGATTAATGAAGGAAAGAAAACGTGCAGGGCTGGCGGAATGAAAAAATTTCATCTTGTCAACGTTTAATCTCGAAGACGAGAAATTCGGCCCTTTGACAATGGACCTCGAAATCTCGAGGAATTTTCTCAGGAATTAATTTCAGGCCGTTTATCAATTTTCCCCAGCCCTGGAGCAGGATCGTCTGCTCGAGTCCATGCAAAACTACCCTCTACATTTTTCAAGGGGAAAAAGAAAATCGAGGAAAACCGCGCAGACTCGTCCTCCAACGTCTGCTCTACTTCAAGTCTGAGAAGTCGAGAAGAGGAGCGAGTCGAGTCTCTATACCTACTAATTTTTAGCGGCTAATTGTTATTAAGAGTGACACGACTTTTGAGGATGACAAAACAAGGTAAACCGACACAATACAACGGACAAGCCTCGATAAACGCAGGACGGTATAAATAAAAAAGCTAAACCAGATTCCGCCATCTTAAGGGGGTAAATAACTACTCCAATTTGCAACTCGCAAAAGTATTTAAATATTTAAGTAAACGGCTCTTCACTTATACCGCCCTGCGTGTACCAGGGTGAAGACGAAAAGACATACGATAATAAAAATGTTATACCTTGCAACGCAAACAAACCAACCGAACATGAAGTGGATTTATATATATATAAATATTTGACAATATTACATATATCCTATATTACACATTAGGGTACAGGAAAACCACGTGTGCTCTGTACATCCGACTGTTCGGCACGTATAATTGCATGCAAAACGATAAATAACTAAAGCCATCTCGAAACAAGCTGCAGCCAATGTCCCGCGATTAATTGATCGATTAGTCGATTAGTCGATTAGTCGGACATCTTCCATTCGCAAGAATTTCGATCGCCTACATGCAGACTCCTCTTGGGGTCTCTACTCTCATTCTAGTCTCGATCGTGACTTTTTGAATTTCCTTCTTTCCTTTTTTTCTTGAAAAAAATCATATGGTGACTAACAAGCAGTGCTGCTAATGCCGGTTTCAATGCTGGGCTCGAAACTCGGACAATGGTGAAAATGACAATGGTGTCCGGGGTCGACCCGACTCTAGTCGAAACACCTTCGGCGTGTACAAGGCGTCTCGTTCGAGATCATCGAGTCAGAGGTGTTCGGTGCGATTCCTCGTGAAAAACCAGCCGAAAAAAGTGCAACCCGAACTCGTCTCGGTGCAGTGGTTCGCTGTAAAATCGAATTTCCGTTCCGCCAATCACAGAGTGGCGGCACCACGGTAGTGGGGGAACCCGCATAAAATGCGGCGCTCCGATTGGTCGAGCGGAAACCGAGTTTTCGGCGGCACTGGTTGACGTAGAAGAGTGCCGATTGCACTTTTGCCGTCCAGTTTTTCACGGGGAAACCGGGGGTGCACCTCTCGACCCCGAAATCGGGAGACCCTGTAGATGCCACCGGATCACGATTCGGCGCTTTCTCGACCGAGGGACACCAGCTCTGGGTGGTTCTTGTTGTTCTTAATGAGGGTACCTGTAAAGCCTGGCGCGGACACGGAGAGGTTGCTTCTCAGATCAGGAATCGGGGCTATAGACTGCGGTAGGCTTCTCTTATGAGCTACCCCGTGACTATTGCGCGGGCACGCTGCACCCGTGCCGGCCCCATTGTTCATTGACATTGTTCACGGGCACAACCGGAGGTCGAAAGAAGAAGGCGAGGATAGCGTTGTTGTCAAGCGTCAAGAGGGTTACGCCATAGAGAGATATATGGAAATATTACATCTGTTGTTAGAATCCTTACGGAGACCCGGTCCCCTCGACGGTTCATCGAGTTCCCGTCTCATTAATTTATTTTTTACGGCGATGCGACCAGGCCAGGTGTCTCGAGAACGAATAAACAGTTTAAACATATCATATTCCATTCCACAAATTTTGTCGGCAGCTTATCAACGCGCACGTCTATGGTGGCACCTCGCCTTTCGCATCACCGGGGCGAGTGTGTGTATTTGACACTGATAAGAAGCGTAGCACCTCTGCAGTCGCGAGATTGCGCCGTTATCCTCCATATTGACTTAGGACCGTCATAAAAATTTTCAAACCGCACCCCGCGATCGCAGAGGAACGTCATGAATAAACTTATAACGAATAAACAAATTATATAACGGATACAAATTGAGTGTTACTTCTGCAACAGCCAGCACCAGTTAGCCCTAGCCCTGAATATCGACGGCCGACCAAACCGAACTTTTCGATACCTCCTTCACATCGAAAAAAAGAAAAAAAATCTAGAAATACCTCGAAGGAGACGGGACGTCTCAAAATTAAAATACAAAATCCCCAGGTAAATTCGGTAAATTAAACCGTGATTTAAAAGGCTTTCCAGATCTGAAATCATTCCGTGGATCGCTTTGAGGCATCCGGTGCTTATAAATCGAACGAATTCACCTCGAAAAAAATTGGCAACGCAAGAACGGTTTGATCGCCTTCGTTGCCCGCCACCGATGCGAGGTTTCCCCCGAAGGGACTTCCTGGCCAAGTAGGCCGATCGCTCTTTCATTTTTCAGGTCGCTCGAAATTGGCGTATATCATAAGTAGAGCGAGTAAATCTCAAGGTGGGTCCTTACGCACCATCCAAGAACTGCATGGCCCTCTCCTCGCCAGGGTACCGGACGCACTTTACGGGGTGGATCTCCAGGACGTTGTACATGTCGGCGAGGAAGACGACGAGGTTCTGCTTCATGGATCTGGAAATGCGAGCGACAGAGGATGAGGGTTTTTCTCGGCATTCGTTGAGGTCGAGGAGAAGATGGCCTACCCTCTCATGTAGGTGACGTCCTCTGGCTGCATGTGGAATATCGAGTAGGGCAGGCACCTCGTGCAGAAGGCGTGGACCAGGGAGAGGTTGTGTAGGGCATCGGCGACGGAGGGCCTCCTGGACAGCCGGATGTCGGTCCAGTCGAGCTCGCCGGGGCAGTAGAAGGCGACCAGGGCGGCCAAGCCTACCCCATCGCAGAGAGACTGGATGTCCTTGGCAGCTGGCATCTCCGGAAGGCGCGACCTGTCCCCGGCACCCTCTTCGGACTGGATCTTGGAGACCAGCGCCTGCGAGGCCTGCCCGATCCACAGGAGCAAGCCCTTCTCCTGGTCGGCTGGCACCTCCACCGAGGCCTGGGGGTTGAATCGCCGAATCGCCGCCACCACCCGGTCGCCCGTCACCACCTCCTTCGCGTACAGGGCCATCAGACCCTCTATCACAGCCATATGTGCAGACTGAAACGAAAACCATTTGGTTAGCCCATACCTCAAAGCAAACTTGAGATGATTTAAATCGACTAATTTTTATTTCTTTAAATCCGCCTATTAATTAATTTTATATTAATTTTTTTAAATAGGGAAAGTGCAACCGCGCGAGACCAGGGTGCCCATTACAACTAAAATTTCATTTTACTTAAATCAAAACGTTTTTTGATTTTCAAGAAAAATCATGTTCAACCCTGATACCGATTTAACCTGGTCTTTTTAAATGAGATGATTATTGAAATAATTAAAATAATTCCAAAAATCGTGATTTTTAAAGGAAAATCAGCGGTTTTTCATTTTTTTTTTTTTTTCAAAGGATCATGATTTCTGTCAACCCTAGAGGGTTTATTATTATTTCTTTTTAATTTCTGAAAGTGGAAAATTAATGGGGTACCTCGATCGCGCTCTCTTTTTACTCACCATTTTGAGTGGCGAGTTCTGGATGAGAATCGTCTCGGTCAGCTGAGTATTGTTCGGTTCAGACACGAAGACCCCCTTTCTGGCAAGGGCTTGCAGGATCCCCCAGTGATTCTGATTATGGTAATTAGGGTCCGAATAGATGTTCGCCAATGCCAAGCAGTAGAGCTCCGCGTTCGAGAGCGCGTGCACTATCTGCGGCTTCAGGTGCTCTTGATCCTGGAAAAGAAAAAAAAAAAAGAATTCTTACCCACCTTATGCATACACTCAAAAAAATTAATCCCAAGTATACCGCGAATTACGCAATCCGCAATTAATCCAGACTCGTTACCGACCCCGTTAGTGGCGAATTCGCGGCTTGGCAGCGCTTAAAATTATTAATACCCAGGAATATTAATAACTCTTCGCGATCGCTGCGATTCAGCTGCACCTTCCCGACCTTACTTTTTTTTCCGGGGGTTCCCCGAGGAGTCTGCATTTTTTAGTGCAACCTGCATCAGAGGAGCTGCACTTTTACGTGCCAAAGACAATCCCTCTCCTTTTGTTTTAATTTTCTTTTTTCCTGCGGACACGTCAAATTCCCACCCAGGGGACTCGCCGCTACAACTGCAGCTGCTCGGTGCAACGAATCGAATCCTCGAGGGGAGGGACTCGATTTAAAATCCCCCGTTCGCGATTGAACTTTGCCGTCGACTGCTGCCTCGTGTACAAACGAGTGGCGTGGACGATTGCCAAGTAATTCAATTGGTCTAATTAGATCAGCACCGACTCGCCATTAACCCGACCGGTTGCACGTGCGTGCAACACGTGCGAGTCGTTTCCCGATCTCTGCCTAAAAATCGGGGCTAAAAACGCTCCTCGTCTCGAGGAGACCTGGAAGAAGAAGAAGAAAAAAAGCCCGGCGATAAATTTCCCCCCGATAAGACGTGATTAAACGCCGGTCTCCTTTCACGAGGAGCCAAGCCTCCTCGGTGTCGAGCCAGAAATAAGGTCGTAACCCACAAAGTGCACGCCCAAGAAATGCACGCGCAAACGCAATGTGCTCCTTCCCAAGGACCCTCTATCGACTGGACGTTCAAACAAGAAGTGAGAAAAAAGAAAATCTAAAAAATAGGACCATATCGATCCTTGCAAAAGGATTTAAAAATTTTCCCTTTTCGCAGGGCCTTATCAGGGTGAAGTGATTTCCTTTAAATCTCCGATTACGACGGTCAGACGGAAATATCTCCAGAGGAAGGCTGACACGCCGGAATCCTTGTTACTACGTAGAAACTGAAGCCAGTCCTGAAACTCGGGCAAATCGACTAGAATCACGAATTCTCCTCCCCGGCCGCCATTTTGGTGAACGCGAGTCCCTGACCTTCGGGTTTACGCGAACAATTTGCGTACCAGGCAGCGAGATCTCCGAGATCGAACTCCGTAATACCATCCGCTGCTTTCCCTCCTGATATCGTGAATTCCCCCTGGAGATCTCGAGTTGAAACCACGGAAATGCGATTAAAAAATCTGGAGAACCCTATTCCGTGATAAGGAAATAAAGACCGACAAAGGCTCACCTCGTGATCGCGATAATAGGGTTCCCGAAGGTTGTCCGGAACTCGATTGTTGTACGCCTTCGACAGCAGCCATTTGACGGAGGCACGTTGTTTGGCCTGAAAAACGAAAAATAAGAACTATAAGAACACCATTAAGGCTCGTTATCACATCACTATTTTTTCCCTCTTTTTCTTATTTATGTTTTTTTCTCGTTCTCGTCACTTGGCCGAGGTTCAACCTAGGTCAGGATTCGAGCAGGCATAAAGGGGTCGCCTTAATAGCACAGATAGGCAATTACTATCGACCGAATAAGGGGTGGCTGGATTTCGAGCAACCTGGGACCCTTAAAACAGCCAATAATGCAACCCCGATATGCGAACTTGCTTATTGCACTTGGAACTTTTTTCATTCCAGGCTTGACGAGGTTTGGAGTTGTGCTCGAGAAATAATCTTGGTCAAAGTTCCTGGGTAAATCTTGTATCCTTTAAGAGCGGGCATGTTGGTGATAATTCTGAGTAATTATTAATAATTGAACGCCTGGGAGCTTCTTATCTGGTGTTGAAAAATATTCAATGTAACGATTTCCTGACATTCGCAATTTCGCCCCCAGGGACGAGGGCGAAAATACGGACCAGTAAATCCCGGGGACGTCATCGTCGTCCAGATTTCCAAGATGCACTCGGAGTACCCTCCGAACCATGAAATTGCCGTAAAAAGAAGAAGAAATGAAGGAGGAGGTGTTCTCGAAGGCCACGAGCTACCTGCACGAACCGATTAACGACCACAGCCAGTAAGTACTTGGCCCAGAATAGTTGAACGATGCTTCGGATAAAAAAATCATTCCTATAAAACTTACGCGGCACAATGCGGGGAATGATTTGTATTGGACGCATTTTTCCGTCCCGTGCACGGCAGAGGGGTTAGACGAATAGTTTCAGGAAACTGCAGCGCTGCAGCGCCCGGAGTGCACCGGGTCACTCGGACTTGCAGCCATTTTCTGTGTCAACGGTGCGTGCTATGAAAAACTGCCTCTTTCAAAAGTTCTTCCTAGAAGTATGGTGGACAACTTTCTCTTGAGGCGTTTTTCAACATCGCGCATCGCTGACTGAGAAAAGATGCGTTTGTCCGAGATAGGCTCGGAGGAGGATCCTTGTGCATGGGCGAAAAAATGGGTTATACAAAAATCCTATCTTTAAAAATATCTAACGACTTCATCTGAAACGTCATAAAAATCACCGTTCAATTCCGCTGAAAGCCCGAAAGTGAGCAATTTCTGAATTCGCCTCGACTTTCCAGGCGTGAGGAGGTAAATGCACCTCTCTACGGCAATCGTCGATGTTTTCCGAGCTCGAATGCATTCGGGTCGTTAAGTGCAATCGGTTAATATCCGGTTTGTAGGTCGGCGGACTAAGTCGCGAAATACACGCGAATTGACCAGTGGCTGCAATTATACGAGTGCATCTAGTAGTGGTACACGCGTGCGCCGTGCGAGCAGCGTGCTCTATAAAAAGACATCTTGTCATCGCGAAGGACCGAGACGAGGTTATACTCCCGAGAACTCGAGTCTCGTCGTTCCATCTTGAAATTCCATTGAGTCTTTCCCATACTTGCCCAGAAAAGCGAAAAATCCAAAAAAGAAAATCCCACCTCGATTCCCCCAAAAATCTGGAAAACATCCATTTAAAATCATCCTAAATTTTTTTCTGCCCCTCCACGAGTTTAACGATTTCAAAATGGCCGCCAAAGAGGCGCCTGTTGTAGGGTTTCGCAAAGTTTGCGCCAACCAAAGCCGAAAGAAGTGTTGGCACGCGTTTGGTTTCCTCCTCGACCGGGTTCACGTTTGGCGAGGAACTTACAAATTCCCCGGAAAGGAGACATCAAATTCCCGCGAATTCCCCTCGAGAAGAATCTCCATATCGCGCCGATTGACGAGGCTAAAAAAGTCGGGGAAAAAAAAAACAATGTCCGCCACGTGGGCGACCTGCACCCAAGGAGTGGGCAGTCGTCCGTCATGAAGCTCGCCAACGCGCGATTTCTCGGGTTCCCGAGGGAGGAACGGGGGACTAGGGGAACCCCGAATAAGAATAAGGTCCCGCGGAAATCCAATATAAACTCTCGCAGGACATTGCAACAATGGCGCTGATTGGTCTCGAATGGACAGCTCCGTCGAATCCGCGCCCTACCGCCAAAATACGCGATAAATCGTTGCGCCGAGAAAAAGGAAAAAAAAAACAATCCCATCGAACCAAAGAAATATTTTCTTCATTCCAAGTACAATTACTTGACTCAAACAAATTGTCACAACTCCGAATAAATTTTGCATCCGATTTATTCCAGTTTATTCGAGTTAAATCATTATTCCTCGAATCAACGGAATATTCCTTTGGCTCGATGACATTTTTTTCTCAGTGTACGATATTTCTGTACAAACCAACCTACACAGATTAACTTGCCACGTGGAAGGTAAAACAGAAAAAAAAAAAAAACTCGATTTATCTGCACATATTACAAGTCACTACGATTTATCGTTACGCGTATACCTTACCTCGATCGCCTCACAAATAAAAATAGTCGAAATTACCTCGATAGTACTTCATAAAAAGTGCTGAAGAGTAATTCATTTAAAAAAAGAAAAAGAAAATAGAAATCGGTGTCCTTGTAAATAATTCACGTACATCGGATCGGTAAGACCGTCTCGCGATTCATGGATGAATGGCGCGGTGTAGAAGGGGGGGAGGAGGGAGACGTGGAGGGGGAAAACGTGAATGAAAGCTCGAAATACGCGCAAAGGCGCCCTCGGTCTCGTGCGTTTCCGCAAAGGCTCGCCGTTCCTATATAACTTCTTTGTCGGGCCCGACTTGACGACGAAAATAGAAGGAAAAATCATCACCTCTTTCTAATGCCTCCCAGCGAAAAAAGAAAAGGGGAAATAAAGAAAGAAAAATTGAACGCGCACTTCTCGGCCCTCGACATTTTTTCTCGACGTTTACGACGACTCGGAGAGGCGGCGAAATGGGGCCCGCTTGGAAAATCATAAAAATCTGTCGAGGAGTGAAAATTAAAGGGGAACGAAAACGTGAATGGAGGAAGGAACCACGAGGAGCTGCTGCCTTCGAAGTTCCACGACTCGTTCATGCGAGCTCGGGCCGTTCTCATGCATTTTCATGAAGGCTGCTCGCGAGCCTCTAGGATCTCTTTCCCTCCGTCGGATTAATTAACAATTTCCTGAGTGACCGTGCCGGAATCTTGGCCGGTAACAATGTAGCGGCGCGTGATTGAGATGGAAAGAAAAGGGGAAAAAAAAAGAATTCCTGGCATCGATGCAAGTTAATCTTTTTTTTCTCCTTCCGGTACGATGCATATTAATGTTCTTTTCGTACAGAAAGAAATCCGGCGATGAATTAATGTTTATGTTGAGTAAAAAAGTGCGAGTAAAATTCGGAAATTCACTTATGTAGAGAGGCTCGATGATCGATTATTGCCGATGTTATTTTCATTGTGCTCACCAGGACGAGCTTGGGCATCCAAATCATCCAGGTGAATTTCCTCGGCGATGGGATCGTTCGCACGTGGCCGATCGATTTTCCGCGACCTATCTCAAAAGCCGGCTCGCGAGATTCCCGCAAGGCGGAGTCGGACGGAAAAACGCGGCGCGGAATCGCGCGGATCCGCGCAGCAACTGCGAGCCTCCAGGAGCTCGCACTGTTTCGTATGTGGATCGCGAGACACGCACCGATGCTCGCATTAACGAGTACCCCGGGGTTGTTACTCCTCCGCTGGTTGCACCTGTGGCGATAATCGCGAAATCGGGAAACACGATCGACGTACCCATTCAAATCGCATCTCTACCCCGAACTTGACATACGGGATACGTGAGATGAGATGCCACGTTTACTTTCGTACAATTTGATCCTGATAAGTAAATAAGAAAAATGTTTTTTTTTCTACAATCAGTAATTAAAACAGATAACCACATTGAGCAAAGAAAGATTCATTGGACCAATGAAATATCCTGTTAATTCCAAGAATGATTACTTGACTCAAGTGAACTGTCCCGAATAAATGTCACGTCCACTTTATTCGAGTTTTATTTAGGTCAAATAATTATTCTATGAATTAACAAAATATCTCCTTCATTCAATGATATTCTCTCGGGGTGATTATCGAAATGAAGAAAATCGATCAACAGACTCCCCAAAAATGAAGACCCGAGGTGCGGGATTTTTCTTCATTCAGCATTTATATTTTTTTGTTTTAATTTTTATACAATTAATAACAGTAATTAAGATGACCCGCGTCTTTATCTCCGACCCGAGGTGGGCATTTTCCTGCGGCTTCCCGTTGGTAGATTTCTTTTTAATTTTTATTTCGTCAACAGGGACCGACCTCACAGGTCGACAAGGAGGAACGACTTGACATCGACGAAGTGCACTCGGCAATAAAGTGCACTCGATCGGGGCCCGTTTCCACCTGGAAAGGCCTTGCACGCCTCTAGGAAGCGAGAGAGAGCCGAATAACGGAGTTAGCAACAACACCGGGATTCCTGAAAGCAAACCGACGGGATTGCTCGCGAGTGCGGCGGCCTCCGAAGCCGATCGTTAAACTCGCGTAATCGGCGTAATGCTTCAATGAGAGCCGCTGCGGAATCATCGAATCGTCCTAAGTCGTCGAATGAGACCCAATCTGTCCCAGGGACCGTATACAAGGTGCAGCGATCACCATAAACACCATAAACACGATTTAACAAAATTAGTATCCACGGTTCATTAGGCGCCGCGCCGGCATTATCGTCGCGCCGCGCTCTGTGCGACCGGTGACGCGACTCGCGTGCCGCCATCGACGCGTCTCGTTAACGATTTTTCAATAAATTATTACCGGCGAACAACGAACGGTAGAAAAAAATTCCATAAGGCTTTTCGACTCCGTTTTCGACAAGGTCAACGACGCGTAAGTCCATGGGCACGTATCTGGCCCCTGTTTACATTTTTTTCGATCGATAAGGTCTCGTGCAAACTCGCCGGAGCTGTAAACCGCGCAGAGGCGGCCGTAATTCTCCGAGGACATGGGCGAGCCAACTTCCGGCCGATAAATAATTCGACTGGCGATCACTCAGCCA